ACGTTTCCGTTCTCGACGCTCGCTCAGTCCTTTGCAAAATTGTTCAGAGAAGATAGTGGATTCATGATATTAGCGAGAACTCACTAGCCTCCCGTTCTTCGTCGGAACCAGATGGGACTTCCGCCTTCTTACGCTTCCGCTTGGATGAATCACGTCGAGCGGTGATGAGCGGTGCGCGCACTGAGTCTTTGTTTTCCTTTATAGAAGTTTCAGCATCATGTGCCTTTTGAGTCTTTCGGGTCTTTTGCGTTGCCTTGATGGGAAGTCCTAGGACCGAGCGCTTGTCCGTACTAACGATATCAGGCCCAGCCACACGGGGAACGAGTATAGGCGTGTCGAACCCAAATTTCAGCTTTTTCGTTTCTTCATCACGCGCCCTTGTCGGTGTCCCGTTGGATATTTTTGAGGGGGGATCGATTGAAGAATATGAATGTACATAGACTTTCTGACGGTCGAGGTATGCTTGGATAAAATCATTCTTTGATGACTTATCCATGGTGTCGCGAGCCTTAGGAACGATGCTAGTAACTAGTATAACTTTGATAGAAGTGCTTACGTACAAATCAGGGTAGCGAAATGGGCGTTGTCATTTAACGTTTAACCGGGAGCCTCGGAGTCCAACGAAAATGAAACGCATGATTCCAGGCGCGACTCGGACGCGGGGATCTAGCATTTATTATGTACAGAACTATTCAACGCCGCTTAGTTCTATTCAAGCCGTCAAACAGCTAGCCATCACCGCTGTTTGCTTGTCTTCGAGAGGTATGTCTTTTTATTTTATTTTATTGGCGGGCCGGATCATGAACACCAACCTACAGTTCACTCGTTCCTCGTTTGAAGATGGGTTCCAGCCGGAAACGAATAGCTGAAACGAATGTCACGGACAAATGTCCCAAACGTTCAAAACTTTATCAGTCAGATGCGATGTCACCGCCTTTGACTGTCACTGTACGAGGCCGGACTTTCGAGCCGACACCTGTGTTCGATACGTTTTGGCGTTTCGCTGCAGAAAGACACGCTATCACCGAGAAGCGTCTCGAAGGCCTCCCCGCCCCGTATGTATCCACTCATTCCTCTTTGGTAGGCCCGACTCAATGTATTTGGCAGGTGGACGGACGACCCCATTTTACGAACTTATCCGTTCTGCAATACGTACCGGGTCCTAGACCGAGTGAGCCAATACTTGGTCGCAGAAGTCATCGAAAAAGGTTCTCAAGATCCCACCGAACTTGTGTTTCGAATTCTGCTTTTCAATACTTTCACGAGCATTAAAACATATGAAACCCTGCGAGGTGCGATCACACCTTTCACTTGGTCCACCTACGAGCGAGCCGATTACGAAGGCGTCCTGCGTCGTTTGTACGATGACAAAGTCCCGTTATACACTGGGTCTTTTCAAAAGCCTGCACCTAGTCTAGGCTTTGTGGAAAACTTCATGAACCATCTCGTTCTCATGGAGGTCTTGATGAAAAACTTACCCATGCGGTGCACAGAGGCCAAGTACGTCGCAGACATCTTTGAATGGCTGTGCACCTTTAAGAGCATGGGAGACTTCACTGCGTACCAGCTAGTGCTGAACCTCTCCTATTCGAGTGTTTTGAATTTCTCAGACTACGATTTTGTGGTGGTCGGGGTGGGTTCACGTCGCGGCCTTCAACGCTGTTTCAAAGGTCAAATCCCTCACGCATGCGAGATTGACATAATCCGATGGATGCAACTCACGCAGAGTGATCATTTCTCGCGCCTCAAACTGGAGTTTAATGGCTTGGGGCCAAAGGCTCGTCCTATTATGCTGTGCGATATCGAGCACACCTTATGCGAGATCGATAAATACATGAGGAAGATCGGCACACCACCCCGCCGCCCCTTTCACCCATCTGGCGCACTTCCAAAGATGCGTCTTCCTAAGGCATGGACGCTTCCTGTACGGCAATCGCTCCGTATCAAATGCCCGAAGGAAGCGAAAGTCGAGTTCATGGAGAAGTTTGTCGTGTCTTCGATTCAATCACACCGAGAAGTGGAAGGCGAAAGGGAATTTTTAGTTTACTGGGAGGGGTACAGCTCCGATGACGCTTCGTGGGAACCTGAAGATATGCTCGCCGACGATGCACCCAATGCCATCAAGGAATATTGGAAGCGTGTGCGAGGTACGTGCTATCTCATCTGCGACCATGTGCACATACTGACGTTTTTATAGCCTGTTGAAAGGCATGTATTCTTTCTTTAGCACTTTGTAAATGTTGTGTTACCGTGTGCTTTATCGTCACCGCGGCCGCTCGTACGACACAATTAGCGTATTCGGTGGTGGCAGTCCAGCATCTCAGGAATGTGAATTTGTCCATATACTAAGAAATACATTGATACACATATATGCACTTCTTAACATGTGTATACGAAGAAAATGTTCTGTCTATCAGTGAGGTCAGCAAATGCGTGACGCTCTCTTTCCTTTTGCACATCCTCATCAGTCCAACCCCGTTGCGCCTTTAAGTCCGCCAGATGAGCTTTTCGCTTTCTGTTCAAGCGGATATTGATCCAGCGTAGTAAAAACGAGACGAACAGTTGCACGATCAACAAAACCATAATCGCAGTCTTTCCTGGAATATAAGCTGGCGCATCTTTAGGCTGGAATATCTCAGTTCCGATGATATTGCCAATGCTGAAAGTAGCCATCGTCATTGCGTTAATAGTCACCTAAGCACCGCACAAATAAACTGAGGGAATAAAGGAGGATGAGTGACATCAAACATACCTTCTTGGTATGGCCACCGGTGTTACTTGCGTTATATGCGTAGATCGTGGAAAGAGCGCTGCCAAAGGTACCGATGATGTATGTCGCTGCCGCGAAAATCAGATTTCATGAAAACATCAAATAGTGACAACTGCACGAACCAAAGAGCAGAACGCCCTTGTTAGAGGATCCGTTCATGCCAATAAGGATGGCTATTTATCACTTTCAGCCGACGTTCCATCTAAAATTTACGAACAGCATACCTGCGCCGACAATGGTAGGAATCAATGCAAACACGACGGGGATCATCCGCTCGTTCTAAAGTTGGTTGAGAAAATTAGTTGTTGAGATAATTTTAGGCCCTCTACCTTCTTATCAGCATACCATCCACAGAAAATCACCATTGCGGAACCAATAATTCCCCCAGGGGTGGAAAGAATCAGGGTTTGCTTTGATCTAGGAGAAATGCTATTAGTGAGAAGCAAAGACAGCGCGGTTTGCGCACGTATATCCGAAGCTTTTGACGATGATGTTACTGACTGTAGTCAAGAACTTAACTTCCACTGGGCTAATTTCTGTTGATGCGACTTACAGTTACTCAAAGCTCCGTTAGGGATACTTGCTACAAAGTCTGCATCAGCCGCCTCTCGTGCAGATTCAAGTAAAAGGTTTTACTCAATAACGTTGACAAAACAACAAGCCATGTGCGAGGATCCGTGAGGGCTTCGATGACCTGGTCCTTCTTGAATTTCTTGTTTTCCGTACCTCCTTGATCGTTCCGGACACGTTCAAGAGCAGCAATCCGCTCCTCCCTCGTCAGCATGGAAGCATTGACTGGGGAATCTGGTAGCCAGATCAAGACGACTATGCCAATAGCGATCGCAAGACCACCCAGTAGTATATAGATGATCTTGTAGGGCGGTAAAGCATTGCCGCCATAGAACGAGATACCCTGGAAGAGTGTAAATCATTCGTGTTGCGTCCCCTGGTGTATTGAATAGTACTCACATATGCCACGAAACCACCAAACACTTGGGTTAGCCCATTCTAAACAAAGTTAGGGGCAATGCTACTTTTGAATGCAATACAGTCGCACCATGATGTAGAACCATGCAATACGTTGAGCCTTATGACCGTCAGTCAAAAGGTACTATATTCTACACGAAGTTTTTCACGTGCCTGTTCATCCTTCTTGTAAAACATTGAGATAATGAGAATGAGACACGGCGCGACACAAGACTCGCACATTCCTAGCCATCTCTGGTTTGTGTCTTGTTTCTATGAAATATGAAGAGGCGTACCCAGAAGGAATCTGAGAGCAAAGAAGGCTCCGAAGTTGTCTGTTGAGGCATGCAGCATGAGCAATATCCCCCATACAACAATGTTGCCGCCTTCAAAGGGTTAGCTGATTTGCAGTTGATGCCATCGTTACTTTATTTCGCTCTCACCAAGATACTTGGCTAACCGAAGTTTCTGCGATATATAGACGGTCGGAAACTCCCAAAAGAGGTAACCTGTGTTGAACAGTTTGAACTTTGTAAGAGTTCACAGAATCAAAAATCCTACCCAGGTAGAAGGCCATGGATACCAAGTTGTAGTTCTAAAGTCATATTAGCACATACTGGATATTATGAATATTATAACTTGCCTGGTTCACGATCGGGAAGCCCATGATACTGCGATATGATCAATATTCATGTTACCCAACATCGCTGCGAAACAATACTCGCCTCGCATAGTTCAGTGAGGTCTTGTCCCTGTTCAAGGATAAGCACAAAATATTATCATGTGCATTAAATGACGAACAAATATTGACAGAAGTAGACAGCCGCTGAAATGGGGGGGATGACAAGGTCCTGTAGATCCGTCAATATTCAGGTCAAAATCGCCAAAGTGCAGAAAAAAATAGATACCAGCTTGCGCCTGAGCTTTCGGTTGTACTCCTCACTGAACTTCGCCGTTGCTTGTGCACCGACGAGCTGAAGAGCCGCATCACCGTTATTGAGGGAATCTAGCCCGAGCTTGTCATCATAGTTCTCGAGCTGCGAGCTCTTCTCGACTTCGTCCAGATTCTTCACTGCACTAGTTTCGGAAGACATTGTACTGGCGCGTAATCAAGACGCTCGAACATCACACTAGCTTCTTATCCTCTCAAGCATCTCACAGAAAGAAATGCATCCGCGACGGTTTGGTGTTATTGCTGTGCCCGCAAGATAAGTGACAAACCAATAGTTTCAACGAGCCGTGTTGCAATTGAGGTAACAGATAAGCAAGCCAACATGTTCCACGAGGAAAGCAAGAGATAAGTCACCCAACAAGACAAATTTATTCACGGGCTTCTCACGAACGCCGCGTAGAGACTGACGGTTTCTAAAGATAAAAATGAGTGTATGATACGAAAGTTCATAAAATAATACAGAAATAATTAACGCAAAACGACTATAGTTTCTGAATAATGATGGCTGAAGCTGCCCCACCCTAGAAAACTACCGTGAGTGCCATAACACACGAAACTGCAAGTTACTTACCCCGTTGCAAATGCCTGCTGCACCATATTCCCCAGACTTCAGGGCGTGAACCAGGGACACCACAATGCGAGAACCCGAACTTCCGATCGCATGGCCAAGGGCAACAGCACCACTATCAAGTGACGTTAGCAGATGTCTACGTGAAGTCGTAAGACTTGCCCATTAACATTGACTTTTGCAGGGTCAATTTGCAGGAGCTTTTCAGTGATACGGACAACAACCGAAAAGGCTTCATTAATCTCAAAACGTGCAATGTCATCGACAGTCAAGTTTGCTCTCTTTAGTGCTTCCGGGAGAGCAACAGTAGGAGCCATGGGGAAGTCGATGGGCTCAACACCCGCATCCGCATATGCTGCGGAAAATGCCACATGAGATAAGGAATGGTGGTGTGATAAGCCAGGTGGACTTACAAATGACTTTGGCAAGCGGTTTCACGCCAAGCTCCTTTGCTTTCTCTGCAGACATTAATATCAAGGCAGAGGCCCCATCATTGAGATTTGAAGAGTTTGCAGCGGTGATCCGTCCGCCTGCTTTGAAGGCTGACTTTAGGGAGGGAACTTTCTCAAACATGACTTTCTTATACTCCTCATCTTCCTTAATAACGGTGTCGCCCTTCTTGCCCTTGATGGTGACAGGTGCTATCTCAGCATTGAAGACGCCCTCTTTCCACGCACGATCAGCACGTTTGTACGAGTCGATTGCGTGCTCGTCAAGCGAGACTCTGCTAATGTCGTACTTCTCTGCAGCAATTTCACCGCAATTACCCATGGCGAAGTTGCTGTAGACATCCCAAAGACCGTCATTCTCAAGAGAGTCCTTGGTCTCGAATTTGCCGAACAATGGGTTGGTCCGGGGAAGTAGGAAACTTCAAGCTACGTCAATTTCAAGAGCAAACAGGGAATCGAATGATGAATCACTTACGGAGCGTTGCTCATACTCTCCATGCCACCAGCGGCAACCACGTTCTTGTAACCACACTCTATGCTTTGAGCAGCAATCATAATTGTCTTCATACCACTAGCACAAACTTTATTGATGGTTGTAGCGTCAGATGCAGTTTTCATGCCGGCAGCAAGTGCTACTTGACGTGCGGGTGATTGGCCGACACCGGCTTGAACGACATTGCCGAAGTAAATCTCCTCGACGACTGCGGGATCGACTTTCGATTGCTCGAAAGCATGCTTGAGGGCAACAGCACCAAGTTGGGGTGCGGTCAAAGTCTTGAGTGATCCGTATAGGGATCCGACAGGCGTACGCGACGCAGCAACGATGACAGCTTCATGGGAGGACTGGGAAAATATGAGCTGTGCGACTTGTTAATCATGAAAAAAAAGATAACATACCATTTTGCGGGTCAAAGATGAGATATTAGGGCGGGATGATTTAGATAGGGACGTAAGACGTGCTGCAAGCATCATGATGGGCTGGTTATATTTGAGAAGCGTATGTAGTATGATCGTACGACGGTAACTGAATAAGCGTGTGGTTTCCACTAGGTGGTACGATATATCTTGTGAAATGTCTGAGTCAAGTGATCAGGCTGACCTTTGAGCTCGACGAGGTTGATAAACACAAGACAAGGCTCGCTTGTGGGCTGGCATCTCTCATATATAAGTATGTACGTCCTTTGCACGTAAGATCCGGGAATGATTTCGTCACATGTGAGCTTATATTACAAAACCTTTCGTCAGGTCTATACAAATCCAAGGCCTGGGAACACCATCCAAAAATATTATCGAAATCACTGCATGTCCACGGCTGTGCTCAACACTATGAACCAAGCCTCCATCCAACTCAGCGGTCTCCTACTGTTCTCCTCTGATTCCTTGAGGATCTCCTCGACTGCACTAGCAGTTTCGCATGGGTGAAAGTACCAACAGGGCGTGCCTAGCGTCGGGTGTTCTCCTTGCGATAGGAGGGGGAAGTTCATTGCCGGATGCGATACAGCGAATGTTGTAGCGACTGTCCCTTCGCACACATCCTCACGAAGAAGAGAAGTTTGCATGATATCAGTCAACTGTAATGGAGAACCACCTGCGCTATCAAGTTGAGTGTCTCATTCATGTGGGGAATATCTTAGTCGGACGTACTCGAACCATGGATAGAAAAATAAAATGCTGGCACACGGAAAGTTGCCGATAACACCACATACTGATGACAAGTCAATGAATCAGGAGAGTCATGGGAAGCAGTTGTGCCATCATCGACGACGTCCAAACTATCGTCAATCTCAAGGAATGTATCAGCTGATGCTGGGTGACGCCAGTTTAGAGTGACAATCCGGTGCATGTAACCGAAGCCTGGTAGTGTCTGTATTTCGAGATCCATGAAAAGAAACAGGCTATATAATACCGGCGTACATGATGTTCTTTCCAAGACCATCCCGAAAGCCTAGCTTCATATGCAGAGGATATGGATTGATGAGCATGAATGAATTCCCGACATGCCTCGTCAAATTGCTGTCGGGTGAACATTACGGTCATTAGCAATGTGGCGTGAGAATGTACTGTACAATTATCGAAATAAGGTTTAAGCCACCATCTCAGGGAGCACAACAAAGCCAAATTCTATAACCGACACACCTAAACTCTGCAGCTCGTCCAAGTGCCGGCTCATAACGACTAGCGGTCTTCTCCCAACCGCCAGTGCACGAATCCAATATGGCTGTAGGAAAAGTATGTATCGATTTGCTTGCATTAGGGAGGGTATATATAACTTCAACTGTGTAGAACAAACGTCTGTCTAAGGGTAAGAAGGGTATCAAGAAGAAGGTCGTTGACCCCTTCTCGCGCAAGGGTGAGTCGTATTTTACATTGCCTGTATCCTGTCGGGCTAACTTCATGATTATCAAGAGTGGTATGATATCAAAGCACCCTCCACATTTGAAGTCCGAAATGTTGGCAAGACCCTTGTCAACCGATCACAGGGTTTGAGTGCGTACAAGATCCTTTCTGTCAAACGTACAACCTAATTTTTCACTAGAAAACGCAAGCGACTCTCTCAAGGGCCGCATCATCGAGGTATCCCTCGCCGACCTTAACAAGGACGAGGAACAATCGTTCCGTAAGATCAAACTACGGATCGATGAGGTGCAGGGAAAGAACTGTCTGACAAATTTCCACGGCATGGACTTCACTTCGGACAAGCTACGCTCCCTTGTCCGCAAGTGGCAAACCCTCATCGAGGCACACGTCGACGTGAAGACGACTGACGGCTACCTCATCCGCCTCTTTGCTATCGGTTTCACCAAGCGTCGCCCAAACCAGGTCCGCAAGACCACTTACGCTCAGACGAGCCAAATTCGTGAAATTCGGAAGAAGATGTTCGAGATCATGACCCGGGAAGCGTCGAGTTGTGACTTGAAGGAGTTGGTGCAGAAATTTGTGCCAGAGGCTATTGGACGAGAGATAGAGAAACACACCCGCAACATTTACCCTCTACAAAATGTCTACGTTCGCAAGGCAAAAATTCTCAAGGCACCGAAGTTCGATGTCTCGAAACTGCTTGAGCTTCACGGCGAGTCAACAGACGTAAGTAACTACCATACTTGTATTAGCTGACTGGAACTGACGCCCACGTTGCAGGAGACAGGCACCCGCGTAGCGAAGGACTTCAAGGAGCCTGAGATTCTCCAATCTGTTTAAAACTCTTTTGTCACTCGTCGTCTACCTTTGTATCTCTTCATATGACCATGACCACTCGCAAAGTACTTATGCTAAAAGGGTATTGATCAATCTATGAACATCATGACAACATGCATCAATCTGTTGCGAGACGGGTTTTAAATGGAGTTTCAGTCCTATCATGAACGCCTACTCACGGTGCCATTCTACATGTCAAGACGGTCACCAATTTCACTCGGAGTTCACGCGGAACCAACTCGAAACGGTTTGCTTCTGATATCCGCCAAGGTCGCATATAAAACGTCACCATCTTCGAGTCATTCTTGTTTCCCTGGTTAGCAACCACCTTTTTGTAACCTTAAACTACACCATGGCCGACGTCGAATACCTGCAAAGTATTATTCGACTCCATCCCGATTTTCCAAAGAAGGTTCGTCAAAGCTCTGCTCCAGCCGCGGAGAAAAGCTCAACATGGTTCCATTCCAGGGAATCGACTTCCTCGACATATTTCCCATACTCCGTGACCCTGTCGCATTCGAGACGCTCATCACCCACCTTGTTCATCACATCACGTCGCAAACTGTACCAAAATCACTGCGCAAAAAGGTTGATGTCGTAGTCGGCCTAGATGCCCGGGGATTCCTCATTGGGCCTATCATCGCGCTGCGACTGGGAGCATCTTTCGTACCTGTTCGCAAACGTGGTAAGCTCCCAGGCGACTGTGTCTCAGCGACCTACGAGAAGGAGTATGGTGCCGTGAGTTTTTTATATATATTCGGAAGTCAAATACGTTCTAACTGGCGCCGTACAGGACTCTTTCGAAATGCAATCAGATGCGATCTTACCTGGGCAGTCCGTGGTTATTGTTGATGATCTCATTGCCACCGGTGAGTCCAGGCTCTCATTATCTGGTGCCGTATCTCATATGTTGTTCAGGGGGCTCTGCCAAGGCAGCTGGCGAGCTCGTCAAGAAGCTAGGCGGGGTGACAATCGAGTATCTCTTCATCATCGAGATTATGTTCCTTAAGGGATATCAAAGTTTGGATGCTCCTGCCTACTCTGTCATTCAACACTTGGATTGAGTCGCCAGGCACATTCTCTTTATTAGTATTTTATGTCGATACCCGTTTCTATGATTACTGCTGTGGATTTCACTATAGATAAGTTCATATATTCAGAGCTTGTCATTGTATACGTGCATTTCTGTCACGGCAATATAAGCATGTAACAATGTTGCCCTCCAAATTTATGAAATTGACGCAAAGCCAACAACGCATTCAATGCTGGTAGCGTTGTGCTGTACTCATGCTTGAAAGTTCATGGCTAGTCTCCCGTCAGGCCTTTAGAAGGCCGCAAAAGTATCAGCTGGAGCTCGTCACATTATATTATTAGTCTAGTATTTGATAGAGGGTGTCCGTTGATATACAGGATTTGCCCAACTTCTCCCGGTGTCGGATCTATCACTCCCTCTGTCCATGCTTGTGCTTCAGTATCAACAGCAAACATGACATGTCCGTAGCCAAACATCCCAGCAGCGTCTACCATAGCAGTAACAGATTTGCCAACTGTATATGGCAACAGCACCAAAGCGACGTCGCTGATATCGCCCGCAGCAGCGATCTCTGCGGCTGAAGCAGAAGGATTGATAGGACTATCCTCGTCACTGACAACAATGACTCCCGAAGCGCCTGCATCTCGTGCATAGACCAGCTTCTCTAGGAATGCGCATTCGCCACGATGGACGAGGACAGCGTTTCCGTCGAAGTTGGTTTCATAAGGTTTGCATCCGAGGGGGTTGCTTTTCTCCTGTTCTACCTCTGTACCCTCCCAATAACCGAAGTGAAGGGTATCGGAGGCGTCAAGTGCAGCCAAGTCTCCACCGAACTGGGCAGTATAAGCCTTGACATACGTCTCTCCGTTAAAGCTTGAAGCCCCAGGTTGTGCTGCAAGTGCTGGGTCAAACGTGTCAAGAAAGATACGGAGTTGAACGTCCTTGCTACGGTAAGTCGGGCGAGGATCTGGAAGGGAATCCCAGAGTGCGGAGTCGTTGACATACACTATTTGTCCAGTACGGACAGCATGCGGCCCAACTAGTACCATGTTCCATAAGTGAGTTCACTAGCCAGTTGGGGGGGAAAGAAGACCTTACGCTTCGTGATGTCGTAACCTTTACGATCCAATCGACTGACGACGTGGGCCCGGATGCCTGTCACATTGTGGAGAATAAAACCATCTGCCACCGTCTTGAGTTTGAGGGGGCCAGGGTTGGGGTCCTCGGGTACCATCTTGCCACCGGGTGACATGATGAAATCAAAAGACTGCTGAAGGATGTCACTGCGACAGTAGGATGTCATGAAAATTCCTTACATATAAATCAACTTCAGGGATTGCACACCAGCCATCAGGAGACCAGTGGTGCTCGTCCAGAGCCTGCGATCGCAACCCGACCAGGTATCTAGCATAATCGACGTCCACTCTCGAACCGACACCTCGGATGAGGCCACTGATGGTTCCATCAGGCGACAAGTTCTGTACAGGTTCATACAGAGGGCACTGGTGGTTCTCTTTGCCACGCATCTTTCGTCGAACATGAGACATGGGCTTTAAAACTTCCTTCGGAAGTGATAGAATGTGCCCTTCGGTGGTGAAAACGTAGTGTGAATCATCTTTGTGTAGCGGGTTGTCCTCGTCGAACAAAAGGTACAAATACTAGATAAATTGTGATTGGTACCAAGTAGCGCTTCGGCGTGGCTAGATTTTTATGACGGACCTTTAGTGTTTCTGATAACGCAAACGATTCCATCCTGTCATCTCTGACATTGGTCCGTAAATCTTGGATACCAGTCAATCCACAATCCACCTTGGCGCGGACAGTTAGGTCTCTCAAAATACGTTCACCGACATCTAGATAATACGGGTCTCGAGTGGCCTATCTGATGATGAGCTACAGCATGCGAGAAGGTGAAAGAGCCGACCCTATAGAGGTACCACGTCGATTCGACGAACTCCGGTCGAAGCGGGTATTGAAAAGACGTTGCCTGCAGAAAATGAGCGTCCCATACTTCAGGAAGACCAGAATGTCGTCTCCAAATGTTCCAGTCTGTCCCAGTCCAAGGATTATCAAAAAGGTTAGCTGAGGATAATCGGAAACACTTACATGTCATGTGAGATTTGATGGCATTTTGTACATCACCACCCAGGACCTGCAAACCAGGCCAGAAAGCAGATAGAGAATCAATTGTGGCATACGCTTGATTACCCGTATGTATGTTGACATTGCGAAACTACAGAACCTGAGGGAACCATCAAGACAAGAAGAGATATCACTACTCACCCAATGACCGTCCGGAGAACGGGAGTATCTCATCACAGCGGCATAACCTTCATGCCATACGTCAAGGAACTCTACTTCACCTGCAGGGTACCCACGGGTGATGTCAAAGTATGGAATACACCAACTACTCCACGAACGCACCACTCATGACATACCACTTCAAGGCATATTCATAGAAAGAATCAACGCCTGCGCCGATTCCTGTTATTTCTGGTAGTGTCCACGTCTTATGAAATCCAATTAGAAGCGGCAAGAAATGTAACCAGGCTGAGCTCACTCCTGTCCAAATATTAATTGTGTTGCCGACCAAACCAATATCAGATCTTCTGTTCCATAGTGCGAAGAAAGCTTTATATGCGGCCTTCTCAAAGCGGTCGTCTCCGGTGAGACGACTAAGGGTAGCCAATTCCAATATCAGAGAACCAGCGCCAGCTGTGCCTAGAGTGACTTCAGTGTTACAAGTGACGGATCCAATTGTCAGTAACGAACAAGTTTCAAGGGATTCTCCCCGCTGAACCCCATGTCGTAAGTTAACCTGCAGGTTGTTGATGCTGAGGACTACAAAAACACAGGGAGATGCGCACCCTCGCGAAAGGCAGACCAGTAGGGGTGGAAAATGCAGGCAATAGTCGATTCCCAAGATCATATGCCATTGTCAGAAGCTGACCGCGATACCAAGGGAGATAGAAAGGTTGGCCAGGCTGACTCGCAAACATATGACCAGATAAAAGTCCACCCAACACCCGAATAGTGGTCTCAAATACTTGTGGTTTTGTGTTGACATCGAACGACACCCAGTTAAGGACATTTTGGACTGCGTTCTGAAACCCTGGAGGATCATCTAGCACAACCAGCGTATCCAGAACATCAATGAGAGTCAAGGAGTAGTTTCCTGAAACGTCATTATGTGCTATATTTGCGCTGTTAGGTGCGTCAAGCAACTCAAAACCAGGTCAAAACCGAGATCCTTACGGATTTTCCCAATCTGGACCTCTACCAGTACAAGACAATGGAGACAACTGAAAACGAATTGGAGCACAGAAAGAGTACAGCTCAGGATAGGCGAACCTCGTCCAGTGGAAAAGCTAGTAACTGCCATCGGCGACATGCATGAATTGCTTAGACAAGGCTCACCATGGGACATGTAATGGTTGAAACCATGGTACCATAAGTCTTTTGTGGTTGCTCTAGATAGTTGTTTACGAAGATTGAAAGCAAAACAGTGGAAGGCGTACACACCTGAATGATCTCTTGCGCTCAGAGGTCCAAGCAGTTTCTTGGTGATGACTTGTGTTTATGCTCTGCCGTGCGTCAACTCCGTTACATAGAGTAATCAAGAGGGCGAAAGCAAATGTACAAGAATAACCTTTTTCCCATTTCATGCTGCAGAGGAGAATCAATGGCAGCAGTCACAGATTCGGATCGGTAGACGTGGAACGGTCAACTCACGTTCGCGCCGTTGATCACGTGGTCGTCAGATCGAAAGGCTAATTTTCGAAATTTATTATAAATAAATATCTCGGCTTCCTCGAAATCCATATTGCAACTACTACGGCCCTGCAGTAGTAATTTAAAGATGAGCACAAGTATCGTCGACGTATCCAGCAAACTTGGAGAATACATGATAAAAGGCTGGGTCAGGTGGTTTCTATTTCTTGTATCAGCCACCCATCTCACTTTCATATAATTCTTCATAGGTGTTAACAGACACAACATGCCCGTCCCCGGCGTGTTGCGGCGTTCCTCTCATGAGGTCACCTAACAATGGATCACCGGTAACTCACCTTTGCGTGAATTGCAACGGTCCTCAACAATGTAAGGAACTACCTAACCGTCGTACTCTGGCCCAATGATACAGCCTACCTTATCCACAGCTACATCGACGCAGTCTAATTCTTCATCAACAAATTCATCATCAAATCATGGATCTAATTCACGACCATCAACTCCTCCTACAGAGCTATCCAGCGCTTTGAGCTCCCCAACGTTTGCCCCTCCCATTGACACCGAAGAGATAATCCGCAGGCGGCAGCAATCGGACCAAGCATCTGCAGAGATTGGAAAGCGTCTTTTGAAGGGATGGGCGATGCTTGGTGAAGAATGTCCGAACATCAGGTGTTACGGCGTACCTCTTGTGAGACCTCCAAAAGGCGGAGAGGAGAGAGATCCTCGCAAGGTGAGCTATTCTTCACAGTTCTTTTATATAGAAATCGTTCATCAGGGTCCAGGAATGCGTTGTTTGTGGGACGATCTACGTTACTGATGTCTCTGAAGGATGGCAGCGCCTTGTCCCAGCTCCACCTGCAATTAGAACAGGATCCAGCTCGGGGGCTGGAAACTCTATGTCAAGTGCTCCGATGACATTGGGCTCTCGTGACAAAGGAAAAGCAGTGATGCGCAATATACCTTCACAGGTACCGAAAGTTCTTCTACCTGCCCAGGTCATAGTTGACATAGATCCTAGTCTTCGCCATTACTTCCTGCATCAGAGTCGTCAAAGGTAGCCGTCTTTTGAAATAATCAATCGTCGAGTAAGCTGATCTGTCATTAGTTGACCATCAATATTCCGAAACCTACACGAGACTTGGCTAATAATAGCGAACGTCTGGTCAGTACGGTGCTCACAATTATTTTATGATCCTCTCACGATCTTGCGCAGCATGCAAGTGTTCCGTCTACCAATGCGTATTCCCCTGCTCAGGCACTCAAGCTGTCTTTGGATGCTATGTCACAAAGACTTGCGCAGATCTGCGAAACCGCAAATCAAATGGACGTGGCATCTATTGCATCAGCTGCAGATGCCATCAACAAGGTTGCACAGGCTTTGTCCCAAGTAAGGCAGCTAGGAGAACATGATTAAATTTATCTGGTCGCCCCTGTTTGATGGTAGATCTGTTTCACCTATTACTGTGACTTTTATCGTTCCCACCACAATACTATTTAGTGGAAATGAGAATCTTTATTTTCCTCCAGACGATATGTTAGTTCGACGTTGCTTCCGAAAGTTCAAGTTCAGTTGACTACCGGATTATTGCGGGTTTCTCACCGTCCCCCGTGTTATCCTTGGAGATTACTAGTATTACTTCTAAACACAGTACACGAATTTGACATGCTGTAGAAGCACCGAAGAAGCTTGTTTACTCATGGCGGCCTCATGTGCCAGCATGCTGCCATAAATTCCCAAGCCTTTGTCCGTTCTAACATCAGCTCTCAAACATATCTGTCACGAATCTACGATGCCATTCAACATGTTCAAGGCATTCGGAGGCCGCAATCCCAACAATCATCGTCCTGATCGCGCAGTCTACAATGACTACGGCGAGGAATTTTCAAAACCAGATTATCACCAACCCATTTCTCATCCACAACTGAGAAGGCATGAGACGCTGCCAAGAAAAGTAAGCATACGAATCTGTTACAAGATTTAGGCTGATGTCACACCTCTCTCGATCATAGAGAGTGGAGCCAGTAAGCTCTGCATTACATTGTATATAGCTACATGAAGCTCAACTTCAATGGGGACAGGTATTCACTCCTGTTCCATCACGTGCACCTACTGACGGAGATGAATACTACGATGGCTACGTTCGGGTGGACAACCCTCAGACTATCCTAGGGGGAACTCTCAACGCCCGCCCCACAAGACCAGAAAACCCTTTGAGCCCTGTTCCGTCTGTTGAGCGAGACGATGGTGACAGTCGATTTTCGGAAACATTTTCTGAGCAAGGACATACTATACATAGTCCCCCAAGGATGCCAGATCAACCTGCATCTTTACATTCCCAAATGCGAGATGGAGTCACTCGGGCAGATTCTTTTAGCTACGGCAATGTTTCAGGTCGTCACATGCCTGACGATCCTGCTATCACCCACATCGACAGATCTATTGACTCAGGGAGCGATCATACTGTCGAGGGGCCCAGAACGCCAATGTCTAGTCACTCTCATACGAGAGCGGTGTGTTACTCTTCATCCGTTTATCTGTCTGTTTTATGACAGCCACCTTTCAGGCTTCTATACACACACCGGGTGGTTACCCGGGGAAGAGTCCTACTAATATATATGCGGACGGCCATGAGGTTTGCTACTGATATACATTTTCCGACAACTATAATGACTGCTTGTAGACTCGTCCGATGCGATACAATGAAATCCACCCAGTTGGGCACGGCCGGGCCCCTCACTCAGGCAGGCATGGTCCTATCTATTACGTCATCCCTGGCGGGGTGAGTGTTATATTCCAAGATGAATATGGGAATGAAGTTGGAAGGTAAGATTTGGTTTAGTATTCTGTTCCTTGGCTTGCATTGAAGTTGATCGAAGAGTTGGTGATTTTAGCGGGCGCCCAGCACCACGTTCTGCACCCTTTATTGTGCAGGATAATCATGGGCGTGAGCTTTACAGGTGCGACAGTGTCATGCTGGTTCTGTAGATTTACTCAAGTGTTGATTATAGTTATGATGGCCGCGATCACGAAAGTGGCCATCCCAGAGATCCACGAGTGGTTATGATAGATCCCAATCAACGTAGTTCAAAACGCCCAAGGTTTGTCTATGAACTATGCATAGGAGATTCATGATACTGACCCTGATGATTGTTTATAGTAGTAGCAGGGGTTACTCGTCCCAGAACTATCACTCCGATCCCTCTTATAGGTACCACAATGACTACTCGTCCCATAAATACCACTCCGATCCTTCGCACAGGCACCACGATGACTACTCATCCCATAGATATCACTCCGGTCCATCGTACAGGCACTACGATGACTACTATCACGAACACAGGGGTAGAGGCTACAGGGATAGAGACGACAGAGACCCTTACCGAGAGAGGGAATACAGAGACCCCTACCGGGACAGGGAATACAGAGACAGGGAATACAGAACACGGGATCACCGAGATAGACAGCCACGAGATACGGGTTACCATGGAAGGGATGATTGGCAGCCCGAGGACCAACCACGAGGATCGCACTCATCAATGCACAGAACAAACAGCCACCGCAGCCATACTTCCTCGAATATGTCCGAAAGGCCATTTCCACAGTGAGTGACCAAGCAGAACCACGAGAACCAGCTCTCTGATGATCAGCAGGACTCTTCCGGATGACCGGCATTCCAATTCCAGTCGGCTACGTGACGGGCCTCATCCCTCAGACATGCACCCCGTCGAGGAGATCGCTGATGGGATGCAATCCCTCCAAATTTGAGAATTTCATGAAAAAGCACGTCTGTTGCGCAATGATGGGTAATTATCGTAATGCTATGAGACATCATCTACGACTACGACTTGTATTGTGCCCGTGCCTGGCTGCGCCATGTACCCCACGACCGGTCACCGAATTTATTTCCTCTTTACTAAGCTTCAGCGTCCCCCCACTAAACTTGCCCACTCCCATTCCGAGACCCCTAACTCGTCTTTGACGGCCTGAGGACCCAGATGATGTATCAAACAATTTTTTAAGAGTGGGGTGATAATTTCCCAAATTTTTGGCCTAAGAGCAAACCACTGTTGACATATGATTGGATGGCAAGACGTGCTGAAACGAACCTCCTCCAGCTGTTGCTTTTCTCGCTCATCCTTCTTCTTTAGTAGTCCTTCTCGCACTCGCTTGGAAGCCTTATTTCGTTCTGCAGCGCGAATGTCAACTTCTCCCTTGCCGAGCTTGGCTTTCCCTGCAATTTCTAAGACACGACCGGACAGTGCTTTATCCCGTTGTGCATGGGTCAAGTCGAGTGCAGGGTTCAAAGACCCAGACAACAATTTTGTGTGGACTAAACGATGGAGGAGAGCGTCGTTCTGGGCATTCGAGCTAGAAAAATCTGTAAGAGAACAGCTTTACGATGTCAAGGGCTCACATATCCTCATCATTTTGTGTGTCATCCTCGTCTCGATGTGGGACCCTATCGACTTCCATTGAAGATGTAACTTTAGCTACCTTTGAAGACTGTTCACTCCTGTATCAGTACACGAAGGTAGCAATACATGAGACTTGCCATGAAAGCTTTTTTCTGAGCTTTCGAGAACTGTTCTGAAGGCTTCTGCCTCGAGTCTGAGAACACCACTACATCTGGTATCTTGGTGGAGGAACTGGCGGTGAAGCCGTCATCGTATTCATCGGGAGTACCTGATAATATAGCCATTATAGTAAACGAATAGCAGCCTGGATAACCACAAACCGTTGTCATCTTCTTCGGATGGGTGAGTGGAGACAGCTGCATTGCTGAAACCTCCCCACTCCTCAAAATCCTCGTTCTCGAGTTCCTTTGGGGACTCCTCTAGTTTCTGCTTCTTCCTAGGATTTTGATTGAGTTCGAAAGAGTTTAGGAACTGTTGGCCATGTGCTTGTAGGAGGTCGAGCAATCTGGCTCCCTCGTCCTCCATCATTGACAAGAAGACTTGTGGGAGGCCTTTGAAATGGAAGACCCTAAATGGTAATGCCGGCGGCAAGCATCCACGACTTGAACTTTGAAGGACTTGACTCCGAGTAGTAACTCAAATTCACGACCAATGGCTAAGAAGCGCCAGACAACGCAGACAACGCCCGTGCAGAAGCCTCTAGTCGATATATCTGAAGACGAACAGTGGCGCTTGATAGAACAAACGGGTGTCCTTAGGAAGGTAGCTGAGACACGAAAACCTAAGGAGACTACAGACAATGTGGAACCACTCCCACTTGCTGATGAGATCTTCAATGCGGTCGTGTTCATCATGCCGTTGACATTCTTTCTCATCATGATGGACATGTGAGCTTATGCCTGGTGCTCGCCTCCCAACTCACCTCCTGTTGTTTGCGACAGCCTCATACATCAGCAGTATGCACGGCACCCAACTGCTGGTGATATTGCTGGACGGCTCTTCACAAACTTACCCAGTACGTTCGAAATATGCATGGAGAATCCTTGATGCTCAAATTCATGCAGTTTTGTCCATATTTGTGTTCTACAGTGAGTATAATGCACCTGTGTCAGTTTGGTGCCCTTCTGACTGATCGCCTCTAGCTACGCGACACAAGGCTAACCCTCGAATGCAACTCGTTCTATTCATACTTTCCCTTGGTGTTGGGCCCCGGATGATATGGCTTATAAACCGTGGATCATGGCTTGTCAATATGCGACAGGTGTGTTATGTTCCGTTTCGGCAAGATGCCTTCAAGTTGTTTACAGACTATCCCCCAAGTGTCCGCAATTCGCAACAATATGGCTATACACAGTCGTACAGTTGAACTTGAATTGGGCCGTCCTCTCTTTAGTGGTGACAGGAGCTTGGGCATGGTACACAGGAATGAAAATCGCTCTGTGATTCTATTTCACATCGACAGACCGCACATCGCAATCACGCGAATAGATACAGTGGTTTACTAGCATCGGACAGGTTCCCTTAGATTCATTTTCAAAATTTCATAGCTCAACATGACTTATAATTCAGCTGTTGTTCATCGTGGACAATAGCAACACACATTCTAAGAAGTAGGTGTAAATAACCCTAGGAATATGCGCCGCGGTCCCACACAATAGTTTGGGAGGCATCTGACGAACAGAACACAGGGTTCATGTTTTCATATTTGCTCGACGATACGCCCCAACCAGGATGTGGTCTTGCATCCCGAGGGCACCTTGTACGAGCAGAGAGCATTGAGGAAACTGCGAAATGTTCACCAGCAGTAAATTGCACATAATATGATAGACACAGACGCTAAATGAAACAATACCTGAACGTAGAGTGTAATCAGGTTCATGTCCATCCGCGGAAACTACACCCCATCTCCATCATCCAATTCTTCGGTCAAAATTTCCACTTTTCTCTGTGAGAGAAGCTTTGAGTGAGTCGCATAGCACGCAGTACACCTGGCTCACTCGATAAGTTGTATTTCTCCCTTCTAGCACGTTCTGCAGCACGCGGAATTGCCACTTGAGGCGCCGGCTAAGTACGCGACGAATGGTAGCTTGGTGGGTGTTTACTCTGTCCATGAAAGCCTTGAAAACCCTGTCATCTCGTGCGAAATAATAGACCTAGAAACAAGGTAGCTGTAAGTTATTGGTAGCATTCGGCCCCATTACTTACCGGTATTGGTTGCCCTTCGATAGATTCCAGTGCGATCGCCCAAGCTCCAAGAAGTAGAAGGTCAGTCGTAGCATTTGCCACACTTGTGTGTTTGTTCATTGAGTGAGGTAATACCGAATCGAAAATGACCTACTAATCCTCCAGGGCAGCGATTGCATCTGCTTTGCTTAGTTCTTTAGTGGCGAACTTGCGCACCGCCGCCTCAGCGGTGGAGACAGGTTTTCCAGCATTGCCAGATCTCAAGGCCAGAGACGCCGATGATACCTGGGCACGAATCCACTTTTCGCCCTCGCTCATTACCAGCGTTTGCATAAAAGATGCCACGAGATCGCTCTGAGATTTATAGAGACCATAATCTATGCCGAGCTTGAGATTTGTTCCTGCCACAGGGTTAGCCGCTCATTAGGGACTGCTTGAACCTATGTAGACTAACGCAAGGCTTTGAGGATCACTCTTGTCCGTGGGAGATTGATCTCGCTGTCTTCCAGATGATTGATCCAACGAGAGAAAGCTCCAAGCAATAAGATAGCAACGTCACGATGAGACTGTCCGATACGCATAGCGTGAAGAAGAGGGGTAGCATCTCCGGTTTTGCGAAGTAGTAACTGAGGGATCATCAGTATGAGGAAGAGAAACAAGGTGTTTGAACTACAGGGAAAGCACGATCGCGAACTTCCATCAGAAACATGATATCCTTGCGCTCGATAGCACGAAAGACTTCAAATGGCTGGTGAAATGCAATATATGAATATCGTGCACTTGTAGGGACGAATGTTAGCAACATACTTGAGGCTCTTTCCAACCCCCTGAGGGTTGGCTTCTGGAAAACGAAAACAAAGACCGTGTCGAAGACGTTTGATCTGATTCTGAGGAGACACTGCCCCTTCTCTCGACGTGAGGTGGGGTATCCTCTGTTACATCATGGTATTCGATAGTTGGACTAGGTGGTGTGGGACTGCGTCGTAACTGTCTCAATACCGCCCTTGGTGCGTTCTGTTCGGCCTCTCGCTGTAGAAAGCCTTAAGATATGTTGGGTATGATGTGAGGAAGATGATGCTACAACGTACCTGTCGTAGGCAAACGCGCAGGTAGGCATGGATCGGAGGAGACTCGAGCCCTTGCCGCCGATCGTTGTGCAAGATTGGGGCTGAAGCGATCTACGATAGAAAGGATGAGCGATGCATTGTTTACCATTACTCCTGCGGCCTATGCAGGGCAGCCGTCCGCTGATAATAGTAGACCAGTAGCTTTCATGGGTTGAGCGCTGTAGAGCGCTCATGTGTGGTTCAACATTGAACCCAGGTGGTCACAATGCCGAAGTCACGCCAGAGTCACGCCAGCCGTAATTGTAGTACTACTTCAATCAGGCTGTAACCTTCAAACGTTGTTCTTGCCAAAGGACTTCAATCTGCTGCTGTCCCCGTCACGTTGTTATCCCTTGTTTCCTTTGGTCTCTGCGGCCATCACGCTTCTCATCTGCAGAAGAAGTCACGATGTTAAGAATCTGGAAAGAAACATCTGGTGCTACTACTAGTAGCCATCCAGATGCTAACTTGAAGTGCGACATGAATCAGGATACCCAGTCGTGTGAGGCTGGCGGTGACCAGCCTGGTTTAAATAATAGCGCATTGGCACCTCTAGCCACCGATGGTGTTGTCCTGAATCGTGCCATGCTTCAGGATCCTTCCGAATCTCTGACTTCGAAACCCGTACTTTGTGCGTCTGACAGTCGTCCTCTTGAGGCCGTCATTCTCTATGATGCACTTTTTCCAAACGAAGAATCCAGATTAATGGAGGCTCTCCACGAGATTGATCCAGAGGAATCTTCGTTTACAAATACGTTTCGCGCTGCCCGCTATGCTCTGGTCGAGGTCGGCTTATGTGCCAGTGATCTCGTCTGGCGTAGGGCCATCAGAGAATATGCTGCCAACAGGAATGACGATGACGACCCCAATTTTGAGATCGCTAACAAAATCCGCGATCTGGTCAAAAACTGGGTGTTCGCCATGCCGAACTTAAACCTTTCTTCCAGGGGCTTCAATGTGACGCCCAAGTTCGTGCAGTTGATTCATGTTCTCAAATCATGTGGAGCTTACGGGGACAAGTTCTGTGGAATCATCTTGGGTGTGTATGAGGCAATCTATCTTCATCGCAATTGATAAATGGTCTACACTGTAGTCCAACGGTCCGAAGTTGCGACTATTATGGTGGATATCATGAGAACCATGATTGACGAATTGGCTTTCATTCGACCTTATGCTTTGACCAGTGAACTCCTTGTCACTGATGGTCACGAGCAGGTATGTGAAGTCTTGTTACCTGGAATATGGTTGGCTGAAACGTATCATGACAGCGCGAATTGCTCCATAACTTCGCGAATGGAAAGTTTAACCTCCTCATTCTAATCAAAAACTTGGAAGATATCGACCTTCCGCGTGCCAATGTCTTTATACGGTGCATGTCACTCTTGCTACTAGTTGTGCTTCATTCACATGTGTTCCAGATACAACTTGTTCGAGAGCCAGCTTTCCTATGCATTTGCTTGTGCGCATACAATGGTGCCTGATGGACATCTTATACATATGGCGGAGAAAGGGAATGACCTGCATCGCCGGATTCTTCAAGAGTATAGTGGTCCAGCTGTTGATGACAAGTGGATCGAGGTGGTGTCACAAGGGGGAAATTCCTCAATACCATCTTGTCCATTGAAGGAAACTGGCAACCCTTACCGCTCGGACGAAGAGACAGCTTCCAGGCCAGAGATCTCAATAGGAGACTCAGTCAATGGTGGTCGATTATTTGAAGACGATGCCTTACTTGCTGTGTTCCGCATCGCTACAAGTCTTCAGCGCAGCATTACAACTCCATCTCTTCACCCTCTGTTTGTTGTCCATTCCATACCCGTACCCAGCATGGGTGGGGTTCAACAATTCGTGTGCACTGTGACACTGCCGCCTGGACTGCCTTTGCAGACGATTCAGGGTCCTCCACGCTTAACGCCCACCCATGCACGTCGCTCAGGAGCCTACCAATTTTGCCTACAATTATTTGAGCTAAGCGGTCTGGACTACCGCCTGATATATACCCCACGTCGGTCTGACGAGAATGCTTACGCGAACCCTTCCCTATTGAAATCAGATCTGGTTTCTGGAAACAGTTGCTACATGCGAAAAAGGCCAGACTTCTGGGTCAACTCATTACAAAATTCTAAAGAACGCCTCTTCCCCGTCGTCGTTTCCGTAGGCAATCCAGAAGGCCCATCCGAACCTTATGCACCTATCATTATTCTAACACGTCAGCCATTACCTCATCTAGAACCCTTCAAATTGTTTTTCTATGGCGTTTTTGCCACTGTCAAGAATGCACGAGGTCCCGCCGTTATCTTTGACAGCGAGCATCTCAATGATCTTCACTCGTATACACTCAGAATTTGCCGCACGATCGCCAACAAAGCATTTGTATGTTCGATGGAAAAAATGGCATACTTTATTGCACCGCTACTTCCTTCCCAAGCCAAGGATGCCTCGTGGTCTAACTTGATCGACTTACACGATGCCATTGACTGGCAAGCTGTGGCACGAGCCAACAGCAACTATATCACGCGTTTCAGTTCCGATAGCCTACGAGACCCAAGCGAATTTGAGGATGCAGTCGTCCAGGATAGATTAGTCGAATTTACTCGACGATGCTATGTTGTCCGCTTACGACCGGATTTATCACCAATGAGCAAACCTCCAGACAGCCCAGTAAGTGACCGTCATTGATGGTTAATTTACTGATCCTTGATCTATATCATTCCAGCGCGAGATGGAATATGCGAACATTCTGGAGTATTGCAGAGCGCGTCGCAAGGGCTTCCAGAGCCTCCAAGATAACAATCAGCCTCTAATAGAGGTATCCAAGGCTGCTACTGTACTAAACCGCCTGAATCCCGTCCACAAGCCCCTTATAGAGACCAACAAGACAGGTCCGAAATGTAGGCTGCTCCTCTAACTTTGGTAAACTGCGTAGCTGACACTGGGTAGATTTCATACCGGAGCTCTGTGGCAAATGTACAATTCCAGCGAGGTAAGTGTTCTTGGCATGGTCCATCGCTATGCTCATACAAAGGTCCGTGAACCAGTATATACCGCACTGCGTTACTTTTACCATCCATCACTCGACGAATCGATGATTTCTTGATTGTAAAGGAGCTCAATGCACAGTTCTTCGCAAATATGATCCTGGAACATCATTTGCTGTCCGCCGTCTTCGCTCCCTCTGCGACCTTCGAAACAGATTACGAAAGGCTGGAGCTCCTTGGTGAGGTCTACCCGATCCTTATTTTTCACAATGCTCATGCTATAATGCAAGGCGATTCATTTTTGAAATATTTCAGTTCTGTTTACGTGTTCGTTTTTAACCCTGCTTTGAGTGAGGGCGCATTGCACAAGGCACGGCAGCACATTATCAGCAACAAGGTGCTCACGCAGTGCGCTCTTTCCATTGGTCTGCCATCATACATACAGGGAAAGACGTTCAGCTATAAATTGTGGCAACCTCCAAACTTCACGGTTCAAGACCTATCTCTGCAGCATCTGGGGAGGCCCAACAATCTCACGTCGTCCAGTGGCAATGGTGGGATGGCAATTGATACCATGACACAGGCTCCCGTCAATGATATCAATGCTTCTGCTATGCATTCGACCTCCCAGTCAAAGATGAAACACAAGGCCCCCGACGATAACATAACACAGTGGCTCGGAGACAAGGTGGAAAGGGTATTTTATCTGTTGGAATTATCTCATTTATTTTTGTAGACGATCGCCGATGTCGCAGAGGCTATTATAGGAGCAGCGTATCTTTCTGGAGGTCGCGACGTTGCGCTCAGAGTGATCAAGGCCCTCCGATTACCTGTCGCTAATGTCGAACAATGGGAAGATTTCCGCCAGAAAGCTCTTGCTCCCCCTTCAAATGTCACGCCAAGGCTCCGCGGTGGCACTCTTTCGGCAGTGGAAGGGATCATCGGAGCTAGTTTCAAGTACCCACACTTGCTCTCTCAAGCTCTCGTATGTGTCATCTTTCTTCGACCACCATCAGTTGACCCTCTTATAGACTCATGGTTCAATTCATGGATACGAAAATACGTGCTATGAGCGACTTGAGTTCCTGGGGGATGCAGTGCTAGATTTTTGTACGTAGTTCCTCCTCTGCGTGGCAATGGTTTGATTTGCATTCGCAGTGGTAGTACGACATGTCTTTAACAGGGATGACCACATGTCCCCTGGAGCAATGACACTATTGAAGGTGAATATACGCTTCTTACCTTGATTGTGATTTCACTAGACACCTCTTTAGTCCGCTATGGTGTCAAATTCAGCTTTGGCAGCAGTCTGCGTCCGGACTGGGTTACATGCATATCTTCTTTACGAGTCGTACGCTCTTGGAAACAGCATTCAGTCATATGCTGAGCGGCTGGAGACAAGACGCCAGGAAGAACATCAAAAGGCAGTCAGGGACGGGAGGCCTCCAGGGCAGTACTGGCTCGATATGGAGCCACCTAAGGTATGTTTACGGCTTATCTCCGAGCAGAATGAACTGACACACGACTATAGATCCTTTCTGATGTTGTAGAGTCGATCATCGGTGCACTTTATATCTCAGACGGCTTCACATCTGACGGCGTAGAATTGATGTTCAAGACAATCCTTGAACCTTTTTACGACCAACATGTCACAATCAAGACACTTTCGCATCACCCCACCAAAATCTTGTTTGAGATCATGCAGACTCAGGGTTGCCAACAGTTCTCCATCGAGAAAGAAAAACTTGGTGAAACTGACGGAACTCGTTGTGACGGTAGGATTAAAGTAGTGTCCATGTGGAACGAGCTGATGAGCCTTCCTCTAGTTATTGTTCACGACATTGTCCTAGCAACCGCCACGGAGTCGACGGGATATATCGCAGGGCGCATGGCGTCAACTGCCGCCCTCGATGCACTGGAAGGGGACCCCAGCTTTATGGCTCACAACTGCAGCTGCCGGAACCGAACACATATCGGAAAGAAAGACTACAAGAATAGGTTGGAAAAAATGCTGGCTGATCTTGAGGAGGGGCAGAACGCCACGACTGAAGAAGATCATAATGATGCCATGGAGGTTAACTAACGACTGTTCAAACATTCATAAAGTTTGATTTGAGTTCAGATTCCAGATATAGACATTGAAGAGGCGCAAAAATTGTGTCCGAATGCCCTACACAGTCTATGTTGCAGCAGACTTGTTTCTGTTAGCAAGTGTCAGAGTGTGGTTGTATTGATGGTATTGAATAATCACGTACAATTGAAATTTGGCAGCCGCGAAAGGAATGCTGAACCCTGTTACCAGGAAAGCGGTGAGCTTGATACCGAACGATAGTCGTTTCTTTCCAGGCCACTCGAATGGCAAGTGCTAGGGAGGGAATAGATGGGGTGCTGAACGGGTGGAAGACGAAGGACACGTACATGATATTCACCATGGCCATGCACAAAGCGTGCAGAGGGGGCGACACGAGTACGCGCAACTTGTGCACGCAGGGAGTGTGGTGCGCGGGCGAGCATTGGAGATCTGAGGGCAGTAATATTGTTGAGTCGAAGAGCTCGAGTTAGAACTTAGAAGGTTTACCGGAACCACCCGCATTTCTTCCCACGACTCTCCTCCCATTTGCAAATTGCGTTTCAACAAATCGTCCTGACGTTTATAGAACGCTAGGTCAGTCCTCAAACCACGAACTTTCAACTTCCGATCACGATCTATCGCGTTCCTACCACTATAGACATTAAGTACAGGACGCTACATACCCATAAATTCGTGGTATCTGGACATCGAATGCTGTCCTGTTTTGTCTTTGACGATTGGCCTACATCGGGAAGCTTTACCTCTAGCGATGACGACACAGTAAGGGACGATGTTGGTGACACCTTGACACGCGGATTCACGTTTCGGGGTGTTTCATCCAGGAAGTCTCGGAGATAGGGAGAGCGCAACTCGATATGGGCATTTGCCCCTGGACTTGATGGCTTTTACTGACCCTTCTGCAACAGGATCACATTGAGCCTTCGAGAAGCAGAGGGTGAGTCTTCGCACCACCCTTCCAAGTGTCTTTTGAATCTGCTGGTTGGGGCAAATATATTTCGTTGTGAGTGAGTGTATTTCACTCCTATCTCATGATCAGTACTTATTGAGTCACAGACATGTATGCATGCTCTGCAGCTGTGATACGATCATCCAGCCATCTGTGAAGTAATACAATTTCGTTCGAATGTTCAATTCAGTGCTAATCCCACCCATATACCAACAGTAGCATAAAAGTCAATGTCATACTTTGTTACTGAAGCATGGACCAAGGGTACAGTGTCTGGGAGAGTTCGAGTAAGCTAAGTCTGTTGTGTGTCTCCTAGTTGGCTTGCTACTTGCTTCAAAAATTGTGCAGTATTGCGACATTCTTATTCTGGCAGGTGAAGGTTTCAATCAGATTGGCCGACAAACAGGACAAATTTTGGGCCAGAGTTGGGTTTTGAGTTTAAGCTTAGCCTTTAATTTGTGTGGGATGGGGGCTATCAAAAATACGCTGCTGGTCATCTCATACATAGCGTGCATTGTATGGATGTGGGTGAATCGTGATGCATTGATGCATGAACCAGACCGTTTACAGTCGGACTCTTGATGGTGGGACATTCCGTCTCGATAAATGGTTTAGCTACTCGCTGGGCCAATCATTTCGGGTGCAGTCACGAATTAAAGAGTCATCCGGCTCCTAGCTGGGTTGTAAGTAAGTAAACGTTTATGGCCAGGGACAGCGAGCAAGATAGGCCCCCTATGATGTTCGGCCGTCAAGACCTGGATCTAGTGGACGGCGCAGGGTAGTCACGTGCCGCGTCACGGCAGGAGTGTGACAATTGAAGGCAACGGCGTTTAGCGGGTAAAATTCGAGTGAATACACAATCTTGAAAGCAAGCAGCAGCTAAAACTATGTTCTCGACATGCGCCCGCCAGGAATTTTTAACTTCGGCAAGTTCTGCAGAACTGCAACAGAAGTAAGTTCATTCCATCCGCGTCGGCTCGGAGATAACTTGGATGTACCACCACAGTCGCCTATAAGTGCTTGCCAGTGAGTCTTTCCGAGGCTAAAAACAAGATGCTTCAGCATATTTGGACCACTGGAGTCCAAGCCTCATGGTGCATAGACGAGGAAAACACAAAGTTTGAGCCTTAGATAGGCAAAATTCCGGCTGAACATCATAGAGAGCTTCTGGGGGCCTGGCTGAGGCAATATTATTACTACGCTCTCTTAGGCACTGCTCCGATCACCGAACTGCCCACCTGCCACTATCAGCATTCATTGGTTTGGTTTGGTTGGTCACCTGGAGTCAATTCCTCAATTTTAGGCGGCCAAAATTATGGTTCAGTAAGTGGTCAGATTGCGTGCATCTAACCGAACAACAGGGCTAGGCCTGGCTAGACGGATCATTTAGGTTTAGGTAGAGTTCTGCGGCATAATTCGCGCAGAATTATCGAAAGCTTGTGAGTTGATAGTCGAATGGTTAGCGAGAAGTCACAACTCATTATCTCTGCGTTTATAGGACCGTGTTCGTAAGAGCGCGTCTCTTGGCAGAATTTATAGGCTATAGAGTTTCGTTCCTCCAATTTCCTGCAAGGTCTCGACAATAACATGTTCGTAACCGACGAGGATGCTGGCATGCTTGCGCGAGAAGTACAAGATTAATTTCAACTCGTGCCTTCCAGTTGCCTCATGTTTGTTGTTCTGTAAGATAGGAATCTGTCAGCACGACTCAGTGACTTCCCCACGTACGCACCATAAATGGTTATCTTGAGAACATCAAGATAGCAAGTTTACGTTGCATGACGGATCAATGGAGCGGATGTCGTACGACGAGGACAGCAAGCCCTTAGATGAAAGGGGGACTTACGACAGCGTATGTGCATGTCTTGACGATAACACTGTGTTAACTGTTGTTTGTATGGCATACTAATCAGTTTCGTATGCAGGAATATCAGTGGCGGAAATCACATAAACCTATATAGAATGTACGGCCATCAATCGATTTGCCCAGCCGTTATCATGTGCACACAGGAAAGCTCGTATTATATGTGGGTCCCAGGCCAACTTCAGAGAGCAATCTACTGTTTCTGCATGAAGTGGCGTAAAGCCTTCAAGTGAGTCAAAGCTACGTATCAGATAACACAAGCCGGTTCCCTGCCACCGGTAGCGTCCCGAAGAATCTCAGAACCACCCATGTCAAGGCTGCCTCGGAGACCCGTGGCACATACATATCGGACAATAGCACCCAGAAAGGTCGTAGAGACCTGTTGCTTCACCTCGGCCATGCCTTCTATTGGAAGTTGACCATTCATCTAACCTAAACAGGTAGGTACTCGATGACTACGAGCCTGCTGGGATATCACTGGTCTAGTGCTGGCAATGACACTGATTGAGCTTGGTATCGTTTTGCCAGGTTTGCCAAATGAAGTCCAACACGTCCTTGCGGCACTCAAACCATGAAAACTATACGATGCAGCTTTTCGTGCGTCAATGACGTGACGGCTGCCGCGACTTGAACCACAAATGCACATTTCACCGTGATGGCGGAGCTTCGCTACTTCCAGTTCTGCAGCAGATTCACCTGCTAGTGTACTGCAACACAACTCATTGCACAACGTTCCACGTCTTAAAAAGTTTCGATAGCCCTCGTTTGCGGCGAAGGCACCTATCAAGATTTATTTTTTCTGGTTCTCGTTAGAAGATGCATCCCAGAGGGCAATGCAAAAAAACAACGGGCCGATTGTTTGCATTTCTAGGGAAGTGGCTTCTGAAAGGCCTTTTGTTTCGCATATGAATTTGTAAATCATTAAGTGGAAAGTTGCTGTACAGTGACCATAGAATATTAACGGTGAATGTTTTTTTTTTTTTTTGCAGTGCCGGCAGAGAAGCAAAACGTATGGCGGTGCAAATGAATATGAATATCATTTTGGATTATTTGCTATGCCCGCAGCTGGGGTCCTTGCATGCTTCTGATTCGTGATACCCCAGGTTCGAAGATCTGGGTATATACACGTGTTCAGTACACGCGGCGTTATCTTATCAACAGATGATCTCTGTACACGGCTAAAAGTATTCACTGTTCGGTGGAGCATTTGAAGTTATCGTTCCCTTCACGGACGTTCTTGGCATCGCTCTTCACATACACTTTACACCATGGCATCCCTATCAACCCGCATTGTCATACGTGCTACGAATCGCGAACTCGATATTCCGACTGGCCTGTTCATCAACAACGAGTTTGTTCCCTCCGCGGATTCCCCTAATGATCTTATCCAGTACGATCGTTCGCATCTGCCTGATAATGATCGCAACTTATTTGAACCATGCAGCCTAGTTAATCCTGCGACAGAGGAGACTATATGCACCGTAGCAGCTGGTAAATTCCATTGCTCTCATCTACTATGCTAAACTCAATGATTATGATCAGGCTCGGTAAAGGACATAGACATAGCGGTCGCGGCGGCTCGCAAAGCTTTCAATACCACATGGGGGAAAAATGTGACTGGGTTTGAAAGGTCTAAGCTCCTAAATAAGCTGGCAGATCTTATAGAGAGGGATCAGGATATTCTCGCAGAGGTCGAATCTTTGAATAACGGCAAGCCATTCAAAATCGCGAGGTACGAAAATATGTCTTCTTTCCGTCTTATTTCTCAACTGGAATTGGCATCGATTATATCAGGGATTTTGATATTGGGGACACTATCCAATGCTTGCGGTACTATGCGGGGTGGGCCGATAAAATAACCGGACAAGTATATGGAGCACCTTTACCGAAAGAATTTGCATTCATACTTTCTATTCTCAGACCATCGAAGTCGACAACAAAACAAAGCTTGCTTTCACTAGGCACGATCCTATTGGGGTTTGCGGACAAATGTGGGTGGTTTCCATGTGTTCCCTTGCACATGTTCACAGACACGATATAGCATTCCATGGAATTACCCAATCAATATGTGGTATGTATTTGACTGCGTAGATCTTGGAGATCGAAACATGACGTTTTCGTCAGGGCATGGAAAGTTGGCCCTGCCCTTGCATGCGGGTGCACGATCGTTATGAAACCTTCTGAACTTACCCCTTTGACGGCTCTCATGTTGTCAAAGCTTATCGCTGAAGCCGGGTAGGCGATACGCTCATCTTTGATATTCTTTCTGACCCCAATTTTAAACTAGTTTTCCACCAGGCGTGGTGAACACGATTCCTTCCCTGGGATCTGTTGGCGGTGCGGCCTTATCGGCGCATATGGATGTTGATAAGGTTGCGTTCACTGGGTCTACAGTAACTGGCCGCAAGGTCATGGAGGCCGCGGCCAAAAGCAATTTGAAGAAGGTGAAATTAATTTCAAGGCGTCAATTTAGTTAAATCGATTAATATCATGTGTCTGAAGGTGTCTCTGGAGTTGGGTGGCAAGTCACCCCAGTTAGTTTTCGAATCCGCGGATCTGGAGCAAGCCGCAAACTGGGCTTGTCTCGGTGTTTTGTATAATACCGGCCAGGACTGCACGGCAGGATCTCGTTTGTATGTTCAGGACACGATCTATGATAAGTTTGTCTCCCTCCTCGTTTCTAAAGCCAAGGAGCTCGTGATCGGCGATGGCTTCGACGAGAAGAGCGGTGGTGGACCCCTGGTCGGTTAATCATAGAGATCGCACCATCCACATCTCACACCCTTTGCCAGGTGTCCAAAACTCAATTCGACAAGGTTTGGCGATACATCGAGAGCGGCCGGGCTCAAGGCGCAAAGGTGGTTTTGGGTGGCCAAAAGCGTCCGGGCAAGGGTTTCTTTGTCGACCCTACAAGTAAGTATCCGTAGCTGTCGGAACATTGCCGCCACCGCTGATCGATTCCCAGTTTTCACGGACATAAATGCGAACATGGATATTGTAAGTGCCAAAGCTGTTTCCCAGAGTACTACTCCACGCTCACGTTCATGCGAATCAGGTCCGAGATGAGGTGTGCTTCTGATGCTGGCAGGATGCCCACATCCTGCGGAACAACCCTGAACATCTAATAGTAATGTTGACTAACAGATCTTTGGACCGGTGCTTGCAGTCGGCCGATTCAAAACTGAAGAGGAAGGCATTTCGCTAGCCAATGATACATCTTACGGCCTTGGTGCTGGTTTACACTCCAGTGCGTAGTTCCCCTGGGTATTTGATTGGCCCTAAAATACCTTCGAAACATCAGACGATGCAAACCAGTGCATGCGCGTCTCGTCTGCTCTTGAAGCTGGAACGGTATGCCCTATATCGCTCCGACATGTTCCCTAATTGACGGTATCCAAAGGTTTGGGTCAATCAGTACAATTTGTTGAACAACAATGTCCCGTTCGGCGGGAAAAAGCAGAGTGGCATCGGTGAGGAATTATTCCGTATAAAGAACGTTTGACAGGTCTGACTTTGCGAGTAGGTCGTGAACTTGGAAGCTATGCCCTTGATGAGTACACTTCGGTCAAGGCTATTCACTGGAACTTCGGAGAAAAGCTCGATTGGCCGCTGTAGTGGCAGGAATGACACCACCGAATCTGAGGACCATCAACGATTGTATTTTTACCTGTACGATATTGTAGCTGACCGTCATTGAAACGATGTTTGTACTCTGAGATTTTTCACAACTTCGTTACCGCAGAGTGACGACACAGACAATGATATTATCACACAAACGAAGAGTTCAGTCGACGGATTGCGTGAGCGGTGGGAATGGCGGACTGAAGGGGGTAACCTCATGTTGGGGCGTTCGTGTAGAAGGGGCAGGGGTATCATACACTTAGTATTGATAGACAGATTGTATTTTCAAATAAACTGACAAAAGGAAGGAATGATTCCTCTTCAGGCAAGCGCCCGAGGGTCAAAATGGAGGCGATAATTTGAAGTCGGAAAGTTCGTTCGTCCTGACTCCCATGAGGTATGGAGATTTGATAAGGGGAAAAACATCGTTCAAATCTTAGCTAGGGAAGCATGCAACGACAAGGTAAGTAGGTACATAACTCAAAACTCAAAACTGTCCATTCGATCGAAGAACACCGCTGCAGCAGTCATAAAAGTCCGCGTCATATCTGCACGGTCGTGGCATTGGCCAAGGAGGGTAGCATCAGCGTACTAGCCGACCGGCTATTATTAACCCTGTCCGCCAGGATGGGTTGATGGGTAAGCAGACATGCCTCCACTCCCTGGACCCATGTCAACCGCGTGACTTCCATCGGATAGTCTGACAAGACATTCAGCACAGGAATACGGAAAGGAAAGTGTACTGACACATTCGGCTGACCATAATCATTCAACCAGCCGGATGGGACTGGTAAGGTACTAAACGTGGCCAGGTACAAGGGATTGCCCTGATGGAGAGAGGCATCCAGGTGACCAGAAGCATCTGTGGAGGGATGTGAGTGCCGCGCGAGAAGCATAAGTCTTGGTCGCGCACCAGCATTCATGGACGTGGTGGATACATTGTGATGGACGACAGCGACGGAATCATCGTGCGGAGCGGTCGAATTGACCTCAGCGTACACGCATGATCTACTAGTCTCGGAGCACCGGTTGCAGATGCCTAAGGCTGGGTTAAAGACACACTGACAAACGATAAGAGGTTAAGAATGCAAAAGTCAGAAAGCCACTAACTTTCCTCTTGAGCCTCCTGCATGATGTACAGGCTTGAGGGGCTCGATGCTGCATCGCAATCGCACTTGCGCTCATCACTGGATCCATGAAGATATAGAGGATGTCCGCGCTTCTTATATAGTAACAGAAAAGTGACAACGAGCCATGCTTGCAGGACTTGATTGGAACCGACAAAGGTGTGGTTTCGGCGAGGTGAATGAATGGCCGGATCTATCATATTTCCACTTGGGGAATGGTTGCTCATTGTCAGGTTGTGAAACGAACCGAAGTTATTCTTACCACCAGGACATGCAGGGCAGACGCTTGTCGCCTGGCAGACCCTGTAGGATTCCATATTCATGCCCCTTAAGTTGAGACAAGTAATGTTAGAGCAGGAAAGGATTACAATACGCTCTTGCAACGACCACTGACTTCTTGAGGAGGGGCGAGAAAGATGAATGAACTGGCAAGCGGCAGTAACCCCAATTTCCAGAGGCCCTTGGCAGAGATCCCAAATCTGTCCAATGGGGGTGACCCTGCGCACAAACGTTAACCTGCAGGCTTACTGTATTCAGCTCGACAATAGTAAACTTGACGTATGTACTGGGTATTGCAGTGCCGTTAACATGCATCTTTGGCGATCGCAAGGAGATACGGATCCGTCACGAAACACGGTCCACACGAGGTGACTGAAAATTTGAGCTTGAACATTGCCATAAATGCAATACCTGGCGCCTCGTATAGGCGCTGGCAACAGCAGGTGTTCACGAGTACTGCCAGTGCCTGCACACATGGCAGGATGGGTCTTGTAGTTGAACGAGTGGTCCATCAGAAAAATTTGCAAACAGACGGCTGACCGCGGAATTCTGGTGGTTCGATCATGAACGCTGGCGATGAATGAATTCCGCATCAAGTCCACTCGGTGAAATTTCAAGACGGGACGAAAGAGCGAACTATCCTAATTGGTTGACTTGATGCACAGCCTTAATAATTCTTACATATACGGTGATGATCGAGGTTGCCGCCGGTGTGATGAAAAAGGTACAAGTCAATTTCGACTGGGGTACGAATCAAACTCTGATTTCTCCAAACTACATGAGACGCTCTCCCTGAAATACTCAACCAGCTCTAAGAAGTTTGTCATTTGTCACGTATCCAAAGATAAGCGAAATGACTTGGGCGTACCTATTGCATACTAGGTTCACCCTGGAAGTAGCCCCACTCCCCGTAAAAGGGCGCTACAGTGGCGGGTTGCGCTTGAACCGCGGAGGCCGTCAGGCTACATTGGACTCCCCGTTTCGCGCACAGTGCGCAGGGCTGAGCTGGACGGTCCTTGTCGTATTCGCACTTTGATGCTGATGATTAGCTAGACTGCAAGCGACGCAAGTAACCAAAAGTTGCCAACTCTTTTTCTAGCGTTGCGACACGCCTCGCATGCATGAGTCGCCTTTGGACGCATCACGATAGGCCTGGATGAATTTCCCTCCATGACAGTGAGTTGAGTGTTTAGGTGGATTGGAGTTGGTGTGTTCGCGTATTTCGTTAGGTTAATTTTAATGAGTTCGCTGGGATTTTATACCAGGGACGATGCAGTATCTGCTGACTCGGGAAGTTGATGCCAAAGAAAGCAAAGAACACGACTTATCATGCCGCAAATAGAGGAAATAGCTACCAAGATCAGTTGCCAGCGGTGCATGAGACACTTGAGAATGGTAGCCTGTCCCGGGAACGGGTGGGATATACTTCCGATATCGGTCTCCTAAAAGACAGGATGCCGATCTGTCTGCATGCAACCCGTTTCTTATTGAAGATTAGCGTATATCGATCCACACGGCTGCAGCCTGTTCACAAGCAACCCCATCACGACCCTGTCAGAACTGGTTTGATGTGCGTAAATGCTGCCTTGGGATATGCCACCAAGTTTACGAAGACAACTTAATTTAAAGTGGTGGCCGTGTTAAACGGACATCTACGATGCATCTCCAGGAATCAAATTCTCTACTATTACAACGCGATGCAACGCACGTGGGGTTAATTCTATAGCGCCAAATAATCTCGGACTTCCTCCTCGCTGAGTTTGCGGAAAGTTGGCTTAGGCCGGCCTGTTTCACCGCCAATTTTCCCAGCTTCGAGCTCCTCGAGTGTTGGGACAGTAACAACACCAATTTCTATCGTCTTCTCGGTCATCTGACCCTCAAAACCCTCTTTCAGCGTCAACAGAGCAGTGTGAATTGCATCCTCCAAACTTATGTCGTCGTTGTATCTATAAATGATCGTGAACTCAGCGGAAGAGAAATAGATGCGCCACATAAGCCTCACCGCTTCTCCAAAAACGTTTTGGCATTGACCATGTTCTTCCCAATAGCACTAGCCTTCCACGCCCAGAAAGATCCCGAAGGATCAACCTGGTATAAACTTGGGCCACGGTTGATGTCCCATCCTGCGACAAGTAATGACACGCCGAAAGGTCGGACTCCTCTAGAAAAGATGATGAAAAACACGCGTGATCCTTTGTACATACAACCACGAGGTGTATCTTCTTACCCAGATTGAGTTGCCTTCTGCATGACAGTCGCGATCTCCTGCGTCAAGACCTTCGTCGGCGGATACTCTCCGTATATTTTCCAATATGCTTGCGCACTCTTTCGTGCCCTTGCGATCAAAACGCGGAAGTCAGGACCCATGCCTGAATACACGATCCCAATATTTGGGCACACTACTGCCACTTTCTCGATCATGGAGTCGTCTATTAGAATGGAGGACGACTTCTTCTCAGTAGCGATGACAATTCCGTTGGACGCTGCGAGGCAAAATCAGCTTGTGATATGGAACGAAAGTAGACAAAGCACCTTTAATGCCGAGACTCGTTGTGCCCTGAGAGACAGCAGCCAACGCATGTTCGATCTGAACGAGTTTACCACTTGGCGAGAATACTGTAAGGGAGTAGCTAACCACAAAATGTAAGAGAAGCAGCGAGATTAGCGGAAGGGAATATGAACCTGTAAGCGCCCCCATCCGCGTTGGCCATTATGATACGTCAGAAAGTGTATAGCAGATGAAGAATGTCTTTGATGTGGGAGATGATAGAGTTGAAACCTGAGGAACGCGCGTTATGATACTGCTAGTACTGGTACACGCGTCGTTCAGCCTCAGAATTCAACAGACACAAACAACCACATGGAATTTCAGCTTACTATATTAATATCGACAAGTAATTATTGACCATCATGTAAGTCAAGTACTAAATGGGACTTTTGCTCTAGTTCTTCTGCAGGTCACGTACAGGATGTACGTACGTACACTGCATGTTATCCAAAAACTTCGACGGCTTACAGTTGGCTGAGAATCTGGGAGCCACGTCACTTGAAGCTACTCTTACGATGTTAGAACTTTCCTCATCCTTTAGACGACCGACGGCGTCGACAATAGCTCAAACTTACAGATACCCTCACATAAGTTCTATCTACCTTCCAGCTACTTTAACCTTGTTCGATCAAAATAAAGGTGCGGTGCACGAGCGCTAGAAGCTTCGCTCATTGATCACTGACGTACTGTCACGTCTCTTTCAGATTGTGCATAAGTTACCCCAGAAATATGGTGGGTCCACTGTCGAGGCCTTCACATGCCCTAGCATAGTAAATATGTTATTCAATCATTTGATGAGATCCTCATAGATTCAAGTGTTCCAATGCACAAAAACGTATCAGGGTCTAGCAGTGTGGTTATCAATATTCCTGCGCAAGATCCTCAGTGTTCTGAATGATGTTCTGAACGAGACAAAAGCAGGCTATGCAGCCGTTATACTGGTATTGACATAACAATTTACAAAATATAGCGCTGTATCAGCTTGGGTATGAACATTCCCGCTCACCGTGACTAAACTTTACCCAGGTAAATGCATAGCTATTGTTGAAATTACTCTTTGTGCGAACCTCACTGGATCCATGAATGTTTGGAAGTAGGAAACCACCAGGGTAGCGGGAATGATGGGAATCGTGCTGGTAAAAAGCATCAGGGGCCACGGGGCTGGAGATGATTACGATCAAAAATCGGAGCACTGATTCAGAATCACGCGATGAAGGGTCGCGAGAATTACTACGGGAAGGATGTCGAGGGTCGTACTGGACAGCATTACAAAGGTTGTGGAAAGGCTTGCGAGGGTCGGACGATGTTGTCAACTCGAGCTCGACGGGTGAATCAAATCACTTGCAGTCTGTCAACGGATATCGATCGACAATGATGTTGGTCAGGTGTGAGGTTGTCAGAACAGACTCACACCCTGACAACAAACCAACGATTGCTCCGGTGAGCATGATGGGAGGTCGATAGAGGATGAATACAAGATGTTCGGTGCCGTGCAAGGCTGGGAGTGGTAGGTGGTACTAACTACCATTTTCGTCGAGCTGATCACTACTACTTACTACATGCGGGTACCTTCTGGACCATGGTAGGCCAGACCATGTCTTCGAGGCGGTTGAAATCAACCATCTGAAAGGCGGTTCGTATCATAGCTGCAGAATTCGTGGCTAAAACATGACCCTGAGGTAACACGCAATGCGTGTAGGCTTTACGGACTTACTAGAACAGTACTAGCGAGCCCGATGTAGGACTCGGCCTCAATCCTTCTGCCCGTCTCGCCGTGAGCATAGAGCCAAATTCATGTTTGCACGTATGTAATACAATATATCGACTATCTTGTTTTAGTCCGCCTCGCATATCTCATATTATCTCAGTTGGGCTGATCGCGGAACTGGGATTAATGACACAGATATCACACGTCGTCCGGCATCTTACTTTTATTCGCTAACCTTTAAGGGTGTTGTGCGTAGGTAGGGTTGCTATTAGTAGAGGTGCGTCAATATTTAGCAACGGGTTTGATATCAAACAATCGTACCTTGTGGAATGTGACCTCGGGGAAGAGCACCCTGGCCTCATCATTGGCAACGGAAGGGTGGACAATGACGTCTTCACCCTTGTTCCAATTGACTGGCGTGGTTATGCGGTGTTTATCGCCAAGCTGCAAAGCTGAATAGGCTGGGTGAGTATGTGCCAAATAGTCATGCCATGATGCTCACAGTCTACGACACTGGAAGCAGTTATTTATGTCAGGTTGCGACTCCAAAAATTTGACAGACTCACCGGAGAATCTCATCAAAATTTCGTCCGGTAGAAGCCGGATAAGCAATAGTCAAGCGAATGACTTTCTTGGGATCAATCACGAATACAGTACGGATCTTCAAGTGGGTTAAATTACGATAGAGACTCGACTGATGTTTGAGCATACCGTAAAGGGAAGACCCTTTGCATCACGGTTAGTCGCATCTTGCTCATCAAGCATATCATAGAGGGTGGAAATTTTCCGCTCCTCGTCGGCAATCTACACGGTGATGTTAAAGACTGTATCGATCAGAATATAGCTATACGTGCGATGGGGAACTCCACGTTGGTTGGTCCGTATCTCGCGCCGAAGTCGTTGATATCTTCGACCCACTTGCTGTGGTCTTTGAGGCCATTGGCAGAGATTCCAATGAGTTTAACATCGCGCTTAGCAAAGTCACCAGCGCGGCGAGCGACCTCGCCGAGCTCAGTGGTGCAGACGGGTGTAAAGTCTCCGGGATGAGAGAAGAGAATCGCCTAGATGGCTACTTGTCAATATCCCGAGGTTCATCGCCCGCGAGATGCGCTCACCCAAGAGTTACCGATCCATTCGTGAAACTTGATAGGTCCAGCAGTGGTCTCTGCTTCAAAATCAGGGGCGATATTTCCGAGGCGAAGGGAGGGCATTGTATGGTGTATTGCTGATAAAGGAGCGCGCAGATCAAGATTCAAAACCCCTTTATAATATGGGGGGAGATTGCGTCTTAAATTCCCACGGCTGAGAACAGTGAGCTGAGATGATGCAAGGATGGCGGTGGTATATATCACCCTATCATGAGCGTGATAAAAGTGGATTCTGAGTGCCTGACCTAATACACACATGACCATATCAGAAGTCGACGTAGGGTCCCATGATGCGAATCCTTTTACTAGTAAAAAGCTATAGCGTGTAAAAGACTGTGGGGGTGGCGCTCCTGTTGCACCTGCAGTATCCTATCGATATCTTCGTCGATATCCTGGGAGATTTCGATCTAAAATTTCGCGACAAATGAGTATAGAACCATGATCCGTGGAAAGATACAAAAGCAAACGTACTGCAGCGGCCAAATCCAGCATCGCCTTTCCAGCAATGAGCGCTTCCTCATGGTTATCTCTGATCTCGATATTGATGATATGAACGGGCTTATTGAAATCGCCACCGCGACTGAGCAGGTCTGGGAGAACATATAAGTGAGCTACGAATTTAAAAACCGGTGCCAACGGCACCCACCATCACAAACAGCATCAAAGCAACGTTCTTCACATGTAATAACTACGTCTGCAACTGTCTTGCTATCCTGCCACCGTTCTGGAGCTAGCTTTATCCGCCTATTACGATCAAGCATCTGCAGAAGTCCATTTGCGGTGTACCTGGAATGAATTCGTCAGACTCGAGCCATAAGGCGATACAGCGGACTTGCAATTTCGGGTCTTTCGCATTGAGTTCTTCGTATATTGAGTTATATGGTGTACCAAACGAATAAATATTAGGCTTGTCTATTGATGGTCCAGGTAGGCGCACGGCAGAGCCCGTTCCGTAAGAAATCACTCGGTACCCGGCCTTCCTTCATGTTTTTGGCATTAGATGAAATGAATGATGTTAAAAACGTGTTGTGGTACGGACTGCAAGACATGATGACCTTCCATGGAACGGTTCTGTAAACATCATGTAAGACTTTTTCGTGATTGTTGCTAAGAACGCAAACCCACTTGATTACTTGCACACACGACGCAAAAAAGTGGTCTGGGTTTGTATGCAGAAGATCCTGCATTGTTTGCCGAGGGGCCAGCGATGGCGTTCTCGGAAGCTGTATCAACTTGCTGCACGAGAACATTGGGAACCATGGACTGTGAAGCCATATATGCTCCGTTTGCAGTCCATTGTGTCGCGCCTTGTAGTGACCCACTTTGTTGTTGGGGCGAGGGAGTAGGCAAAGCAGATGGTCCTCGCTGCAAACGCGGGTCCACGCGTGCCAAGCGCGGATCGCGAGCTCGACGTGGGTCCATGGGTAGTTCTGGACACGATATTGTTAGCCTTGGTATGATGTTAGTTGACTGGCAGTAACAGCGTCAGCAGTATCTAGAACACTTGATAGTCTCCAACTCGACCCAGCAACATTAATGGGTTGTGCGGGTTGATGAAGATTCCACTCTGAATCATCATAGCGTACTAAACATGCAATATTGGCTTACCTTCCGGGGTTTGGCTAGGTGAAATGGCGACTAGGTCGTGTACGATACAGAAAGGTCACAAAAACAATAACAAACACATCGGGGTACAAAGTCACCGGTCACCGGTCACGCGCAAGCTTTACGCCGATATTCGTACGAGAATCTGCCGATGGGTAGGCTTGGGGTTTGCCAGATGTGCATGGATCGTAGCTGGTATCACGATGTCGCCGTGTCGCCGTGCGTCGTAATTTTAAATGTATTCGAGCTGGGACGTCACACTCACTCTTGAACTTGCAGGACACCTCTAATTTCCGTGATGGATTGCGTATCATGTATTCGCGAACCCACGGAAGACGATATTCTTTTGATCCATCAGACCATGATGGCTGATGAGGAGGCAATCCAGGAATTGGACAGCGAAATGACCCTATTGTATTCTGTTCTGGAGCGCCTCCGCTTGCAGAAGGACAAGCACCGGGAAAATATACATCGGGCCCGCTCATTGTTAACTCTTGCTCGCCGCCTACCTCCTGAGCTACTAGCTCGCATATTTGAGATATGTGCTAAAAGCGGTTGGACGCGTGCGCCTGTGGTTGTTTCTCAAGTATGCTCAGCTTGGAGGAAAGCCGCAGCATTTCCTCGTGTATGGTCCTATCTCTTCCTTGACTTGAGATCGGGGAATCCGACCAGCAAAGTGGTGTTTTGGTTGAGTAAAGTTCAACACGTGCCATTGCATATAACTTTGGATATCCCTCTCGAGTCACCATCATTGGAGGAGGTTTTGAGTTTACTCATTCCTCGCTCCAAGCAATGGCACACCCTTATCATCAAATCTGTAGACTCCACAACGATGAACTACGTCCTTCGCCGCTGCAATTTCCCGTTGCCTGATTTAAGGCAACTCAATGTTATCACTGAAATGGAGGGATCTCAGGGAGATCCTGTGAATATGTCATCTCTTCAAGACGCTTCGCGTCTATCTCGATTGCTCATCGAACAACCGAATCTTCCGAAATGGAACAACTTTATGAAAGTCACGAAACTGCACATTGTACTCTCCTCTTCAACGTTGTTCGTACCCTCCATAAATGCTACCGACTGGATCGAAATGTTGCAGGCCTTACCAGAGTTAAGGGACCTCACTCTGGAGCTCTCTAAACCAGGAACACGCACATACAGTGATATCCAACGTGCTGTGGATCTTCCTCATCTGAAATCACTGACACTCCACGTCTCTCCTGAAGTGAACAGAATCCTTTTGACAATGCGCACACCTGCACTGCGTCAGATCCACCTGCGCTGCTCATCCGACCTTCTCGCACGCCCCCACATGCCTTCTGGCGCTCATTTGTGCCGGTTTCTTGAGTCTTCCCCTTGTGTTCAGCTTCTAGAACTCTATGATGTTGACATGCAGCGCATCGACTTCGTGCGATGTTTCGAGCTCCTTCCGAAACTAGAGGAACTTCGTCTGCACGACAGTGACATTGCTGATGAACAACTGCGGCTGCTACACGGGGATGCCGGGCATTGCCCAAACCTCGCTCGTCTTGACTTCCGTTGGTGCAATTATCTAACTGGAAGTGCGCTCGTGAACCTTACAAAGAGCCGGCTGCCACAAAACGAAAGCGAGGATCGAGGGTCACCCACAATGCCACAAACGAGGCAGATTAATGAAGTGGCTGTTATCAACTGCCTACACGTCAAAGAACAGGATGTTCTTGATCTAGCGGAAATGACACATTGTAGGGTCCTGATAAGGTCGGACGAAGATCACTGTTGTGAGCATACGGTCTCGGTCTCTTGAAAAGTATACTGACGTGATCATTAGACAGAAGGGGTTGCTGCAACAACGAGAGGTATAGGCAACGATTGCGACTACGCCACAACAATAAACTACCGAAACGAGTTATCCTCTGATCATCGATGAAACTTCGCTTTTGAGAGTTCGTACAATCGGGCTAGAATACTAGAATTTAGATTGCAAATATACAATATTGTAATACCAATTACGAGTACTGTTGGTCTCAAAACTATGGCAAGCAGTAGTAGCCAGTGTACCATTCGCCTCAAACAAGGACCAATCTGACATCAATATTCCACGCGTTTGAAAACCTCTTCCGTCAAAGCTGCAAGTATAAGCAGCGGTACTGAGGTCTATATAACTTTGTCGTGGTTGATAAAAAAAGAAAACTAGGCTGTTCCCACCCTTTATATGACCTTTAAATTGACACGTGACTCTCGGCAACATGCGGCCACTGCGTTGGTCAACGCTACATAGTTGCAATTGTGCTCATCTTCCGTCACCGTCACCCATTAGTACTGTCGTTGTACAGCGATTATTTATGGGTTTCATCGACCGTACCACAGACTTCAAAGATGTCCTTCAAGCGAAAGGCGCTGTCGCACAAGGCAAACGACGCAAGGCCTCATATGATGTCCCTAACGTGAATGTATTTGGAAAACAATATTTAGAGGAAGCCTATACGATTGTATGTCGCAACAATGTGTCTTACGTCGAGGTTATCTTCTAAACTAATTGCACAGCTCAACCATATTGGCACTCTCACGCGTATGCTTTCTAGCATACGGAAGCCTTACCTGAGTGTAGACACACATGCTGTGCCACTCTCGCGATATGGTTCCCTTGCCATCGATCTGAGCGACTCTACAAAATCGTGGTCGGGAATACGTCACCTCACAGACGAGGAGCGGGACCAGGTTGACCTGCAGGCACGTGTCATTCTCAGTAGGTGCGCAGACAGAGTCAAGGAAATGGAGACACTCGAAAAGCGTGCGGTCTGTTTCTTGCCGTTGTTCTTGAAACGACCACTGATGATTAATTGTTTTCTACAGGTCGTGCTGAGCTCGCTGCAAGTAACGTGAATCCCTTGACACGCTTCCTGCCCGCCCGTCTGAAGAGCAACAATTCAACAATACTTTCGGATTTCACAGCGGCGCACCACTCCAGTATAACGTGGTATCTCAGTAGGCGTCTTACAGAAGCCAGCCAGAATCAAAAAGAAATGCAGGAAGAACGTGTTAAGCGTCAACTTGAACGCACGCGAACTCTAGGATCCAATGCAACGCAAGAGGCCTTGGATATCGTCTCCAAGGGACCTGTGCAACATAAACAACTCATTGCTGGAGGGGGCGACAGCTGGTTGGGAGGTGCTTCATCAGCACTGGTCTCAGGGATCGCCGCTACCATCGGGAGCGGCCGCCCTGTTACTCAACCGAGAACGCTTACTCCCGCCTCATCATTAGGTGAACTGGATGGAGATGACGATGATATTGAGCTTTCGCAGTCTCAGATACTTCAATTCGAGACGGAGAATGCAAATATTCTTCGATCCGTCCAGGACACGCTCGAGTCCGTACAACAAGCCGAAGCACGATTGATGGATATCAGTAACCTTCAAATGGAACTGATGACGCATCTTACACAGCAAACGGAGCTGACTGACCAACTATATGAGGACGCGATTGCGACGACATCTACCGTAGAAAAGGGCAACGTGCAGCTGAGAGAGGCACGTAGACGTGCCAAGGACAGTCGAATATTTATACTTGTTTTCCTGATTGGGGCCAGCTTCTCCTTGCTTTTCCTCCACTTTTACTAGCGACCTATTATTCGTGCATGCATGACATTCTGTAGTTAGAGATGTGTAGTGATCATAAAGCTAGCTTAGTTCGGTGTTCTGTAATTGATTACAGATTCCACTGCAGTAAGCTCATCAAGGGAGTGGGTGTTAAACTCTACGGAGACCTCAAAGAGTCAGATCCCAACAAAGGCGCTTCCTCTGCTGCCTCGAGTGCCTCTGCAGCGAGTTCGTCACGCTCCGACGGGCTGTCATGTAGACGCTTGATCTCCTTCTGCATGAGATGATAGACCAGCCTGTATAGGGTAAGTAGTCTGCTATTAATGGTGGTGACCTAGACACGAACGAGCTGGCTAAAACAGATATCGAGATACCGCCGACAACTAGAAGGCCGTTGACAATTTTTGTTTCTGTACGCCACGAATCCATGCATTAATGAAAGCGGAATGCCATGACATGTATTCTTACGGGTATCCATATGATTTCTCTGTTCGCCGTCTGAGAGTCTAGCAATACGAGATCCGACGAACACGTAAACCATAGCCTTCGGGAGGGTAAACCAAGTCGCCATGAAGAACTGGAACAATGAGACCGGCGCTATGCTCTAATAAGGAGTTAGATCTAAACCAGCAAACAACTCGAAAACCTTACAGCGAATAATGAGTTTGACCAAGCCCACGGTGGAAATGAAGAAACACGGATGAGAATAATCAAGGGCATGCCTCTTGTTCGCTGTAGTGTCTTCTGGTAAGCAAGTATGCCGAGGCTAATGAACACACTGACTATCACAGCTTCTAGAGCCTGCCATTTCTCATTAGTGGAAGTCCATGAACGCAGCCTCTTGCTGAACATGATCCGAAGAGTAACAAAAACTATTGCAGAGCCTGCCAGTGATCCAAATGCTGCAGGGAAAAAGCCTCGCAAACCGTACGTGAAACCGAACAAGTTGAGGAGCGTAGTATGTCCAATAAATGGGGGGAAGGATACAGCGACTGAGGGGAATTAGTATGTTTGAATTCATTGGATGAAAGTGCACTTACTCATCATAACGATAAGAATTGTGTACCCATAGGGAAGATGTCGGATGTCTTGAGCGAAATCGTATGTGAATTGAGCAATGCGAGCCGGAGTGATCACAACAATAAATGCGGCTGAGCAGAGATAGAAGAATAGGATGAACCATATCAAAGCCTGCAGCAACATCGTAAGTTGACAAGAGAACACTACATTGTCTGACGTCACCTTTCCAATTAGACTGAGCTTTTGATACCTCAAGCTAGCTGATTGTAGGAGGCCCTTGACAAAACGAGCCCCACTCGTGAGTGCGACTAACATATTTGAGCGAAAGAAGAATTTGGTGATTGCAGGGTTGTGTCAGGCGGCAGGAACAGAGGGGGCGACTACTATCATGTAATACTCGTGCACGATCGACCCGAGTAAAGCATAGCTATACCAAATACGGCAAAGCAAGTGAGCCGGATGTTTATTTGTTGTCGTGGGCTATACCAGTCACCAACACACCACCAGCCTGCATTGCCTGTGGTAGAGTAGCAGCAGTAGCTGGATGGAGAAATTTTCTTCCTTCCGAGTAATCAATTCAACTGTCGGGCTTGCTTTGTGCTCACCTCTTGTTTCATAGGATCCTGGAACTGGTATTCAGGTTAGTACTTGCACAGTCAACTTATCAAGCAGTAGCTCATTCTCGTACTCAGCCTTTTCTTGCGCCAGTTCCACCACAGGAACGTGACCTCTTCGTCACCATTTTGACGCCCATCAGAGCGGTCGTTGCTGTAACACGGACTGCCGTGATCATCGTGCTCATTTCGATTCATTTTGTCCTAGTTCATGTGATCGGCTTTATTTGTGTGAGTGACTGCAAAGTTCACAGTTACAATTTCGCTCAAGGAAACAGCGTCCTGTTCCGCCATTACAAGATGTAATCTCGTGGCTAGGCACCGTCTTGCTTGCGCGCTTAGCATTCTATGTGATAGGATTTTGGTCAGTGTCGACGGAGCTTATTGTTCGAAAAAGAGGGTCAGCGTCATGTTCGGTTGATTTTTGAGACAGTGCTCACAAAGAGTTTCAGAAAAATTCCTGAGAACAAGTGGAATCCAAGAGCAGGAGACCTTATAGTATCAAACTGGTCGTCTTGGATAGAAGTCCTTTGGCTGGCATACAAGTAAGATGCTCGATTGTGTTTGCAGTTTTTTCTGACGAGTCCTGTAAGATACAACCCATTATTTGTGTTGCCTGTTGCAAATGCACCCGCAGCGTCTTCTGTCAGAGATGCATCGTCAATATCGTACACTCCAGGACGAAAGACAGGGACCGGATCCGCAGCTATATCTTCCTTTGACCGCGTATTGAGCTCACCAGAAGTCATTCGCGGCTTTCGTCAGGTGTCTTTATTGGAAATGATATCTTCAACTGGCAAAACACCATCGGCCCCTTCCTCTGTGCATTTGCGTAGTCTTGATGATATCCGTCGCTCAGCTCGTAGACCCGTTGTAGTATTTCCTGAATGCACAACTAGCAATGGCAGGGGCCTGCTTCGATTCGCTGATGTCTTTAATGGCGCAAGTGTTCCTACAAAGGGCTACAACATGTTCTTGATGTGTGTCAGGTAAATCACTTTCCAACACCCGTCTTGTTGTATCTAACCAGTTCCAGATATGATCCCCCCACAGCGTCACAACCCTCTTTGTCGCACTCGGTCCCGGCTGCTACGCTCAACCCCCTGCGACATCTGTTGCAAATTTGCACCAGTCTTTCTCCACAATCTATCTCAATCCGCCAACTTCCGCTCTCAGAATCACCTAGTTCTCAGCTTTTCATAGTCAACGAGGTGGTCCCCGAGCCACGTTCTGATGGGCTTGCCGAAGTCTGCGCTGTACTTATAGCGAGAATGGGCAAGATGAAAAGGGTCGGTTTTGGATGGGAGGACAAATACGCTTTTTTAGACTTTTATCGTGGAAGGCGATGATAATCTGAGATGGCCTATTCAGATCCCACTCATCCATTTGGGTAGAAAACTCAGCGTTCAGCGGTGGTCTTTATGAGGTCGCAGAGAACGGCAATACTAACTTACTCACGATCTCCCTTGCAAATCATTCGGTCTTTGGTTTGTGGACTAAAAATTACTGTATGGGTGGGCCTAAATGACAACTATCGAGTACAGAACCGGAGTCGCTTTATAAATAAGAGGTTTCAAATATATGTGATAACTTGAGAACTGAATTAGCGAGGAAGAAGCAAATCTCTAGATATCCGTCATGAGGTCATAATTTTGGGACCCATCCCAAATTCCAGAATCCCGCATGAACGATCTCCATCGCTCATCCATACCTGACTCTCCAGAAAGGAGAAGGTCAGCAAGATCATCGTCTACTCTCATGCTCGTTGGATCAAACAAATTGGATTGTGGAAGGGGGCTTTGAAAAGACGAGACTGACTCAGATGTCTGGGGGATGGGGGAGGGATATATCACAGGCGCGGAGCCTGGTGTCGTGAATTCGAGTGGAGGATGCAAAGAAAATGCATCCCATTGATTTTGGAAGGTTGTAAATGCATTCCTTGTGCCCAATGTGGGATGTGGCATCAATGAAGGAGGATGCGTTTTCAAAAATTCCACAAGCGTGGGATGAACGTCAGGAATGGAATCTGGACTACCATCGTCAGACATCGAGGGGGTACTCGTGGTGGATTGCAGTGGATCTGCAGCCGACAGAGCAACAGACGATGGTACTTTCTTGCGGTTCTGCTGCGAAAGGATCTTGGTGACGAGGACACGAGTCTGCCCACCAAACATGGTAAGTTCGTCATCACCTCCCACCTCCGGAAGGAGGGAGGATAGACTGCCTTGGTTGTTAAATGTCGCTCCACTGCGATATTTTTCAAGCGCTTGATAGGCTTTCAGTTTGAGTTTGTTTAGGATAGCCTGAGAAATCGCATGAATTCCATTAGTGCAGTAAAATTTGAATGATGCGCACCAAACCATGACGAGCGCGACTTGATGTCTTTGATCCCCGTGAAAATATTTCTACTGCAAGGTTCAATTCCTGCCATGCAGCAGGAGCCATAGTCGTCGATGGTGCTCGAGTAACAATGGATCCCACAATTACCTGTGCCTACTTGAGTATCACGCCATATACTAAGCCAACTACGTACAGCCGCGGACAACAGATGGCTCCAGATAGTCCACCAACGCATAAAGAGGTCCGGGAACATTTGGAAGTTAAGGACAGTAGTCTTGATCGTTGCCGAGGCACAACGGTATGCAGCAAGGAATGATGGAGCATAGGGACTGCGGAGAGGATTTGTGGGAAAGTCAAGCAAGGCTTGTGCAAAAAAACTACGATGAATGAACAACATCGCTGTAAAGACGTCAGATAGGACCGAAGGTCGTTGCGTCTAGGGGGCTCACTCGTCGTTCTAAACTGGAAAAGAATGCGGCCACGAATATAAGCTGATGGAGTAGTGTAGTTGTCTTGAACGCTAGAAAGATAAAGGTTTAAAGGCGGAGGTAAGACTTTCTCGCGAACTTTTCTATCAAGTTCTAGGATAGTGCTGTAACTTGGAAGTTCTGCGCTCAGCGTTAATTCTGTGACTTGTGAGAATACGTCTCTTGTGAAAACATGCTTCCATCGCCAAACTAGCAAAGTAGAATGATTCAGCGAAATAGGAGCGGCAACAGTCAGAACTCACACCCAACCTCGACTTCTCCTTGATCATTCATAGTTGTCGTCTCGTCTTCAGGAAACTCGCAATCTATGTACGATAACCTGTTTGATGGAGGACGACCCAGAGTGAGACTCTAACCACATCGTCAAAACCATGTAAAAGTACAAGAAATATAAATATCACTCACATGAAAGAGATCCGCAGAAAAGATTTCCCAGAATAGAGTACGTCGACGCTGAACAACCTTCGGGCTCATATTAAATCGAGAAGGGTCCCGGTCTGTGCAAGGAATGAAGGCTGATGAAAACGAGGCCGAAGACAGATACTCACGAAGACCCATCTGAAAAAGATACGGTCAATGACATGTTCGACGGGGTCAAATAATGAACATACACTTTGAGCTAATTTGCTGGCAAGTGCAATGACAGACCACGCGCTGTGTAACGCGTATTGCTTGCCTCTGTTGCTGTAACAGTATCCCATTACAGCCAGAGCTTCAATAGTGTGAATAGTTGGCGATTCGAAAACAGAACGGAGTGATAATGCTACACGGCCAAGATGGAAGTAGTCCTCTGCTTCCTGGTTACATGGTGGCAAAGTCAAGTCCATGAGAGCGCCCTGGGAAAAGACCATATAGAGCGCGGCAATAGTGTGTTCAGGGCACTCTGTTTTAGATTCAGATGTGTTACTTTGTGTTTCCTGAGCAAGAGCGTAAACAGGTGACAGGATGTCATCAATCAGTTCCTCTCGTCGGATTGGTTGAAATATCCAAGCAGCGTGCTCCATATATGTCTCGCAGAGTGCACTAGCCCGCGGGTACGGTGGTAAAAGGCTTAACAATGAGCTCAGGATACTTTGACACTGATCATGGTCAGGAATACCAGTCAAACTGAAGGGGAGACTTGACTCCAATCGAGATACGTCCGCAGACATACTTGGAAGCTCGTCTGGTTGCAAGGATGAAGTGCTATCGATTTCAGCGCCAGCCTGCCAGGATGCGATAAAATTAACTGTTTCTAGCTTTTTTTGAGCCAACATACCATGAACAAGGTCTGTTGGGTTCAAGTTACTGTGACTAAGCATTCACGAAAGGAAGCGAAAAAGTGGCATTACCTCTGAACCTGCAGAAAGCCCAAAGTAATTCGACTCTCCTCCATTGCCGATAGTTAAAGTGCCGGATGAATTTATGGGGACACTACTGCTTTCATATGTAGCATCATTGCTAGACTTCGGAGCTTCTGGTCCAAATTTTATGGAAAGTAGATCTTCGGCGAGCAGCGGATGAACCTCCTCAGACACACCGCCTTGAAAAATGGATAGTGCATCCTCGAGTTGTCGAATTCGCTGGCCCATCTCCACAATCTTGTGATGCAGGTGTTCTGTATCTGCAAGGACGAAACTAATAACGACTCAGCACGATCGAATGTACAGGTAGAAGATGGTATATACCGAGTACCCTGCCCAGTAGAAAGACTACCTGTAGGTGTGACAACGATGTTAGAGCTGATTTATTGCAGGATAACTAAACACAACCATTTGGACAGATGGTTGGGCAGCCTCGACGAACGCAAGAGCCACATGGTACTTTCTTGTCGCATTTCAGTTTCAATCTTCAAGCAATAAATTAGGGAAATTTTAGATTCGAAGAGCGGGAAAACCTTCTGCACTCTGCGCACGAGATTTCACCACGAGCGCGCTTGAGTTCCGTTTCCTCCTCATTGGCTACTTTGCGAGATGTGCGACGGGGAGCATTAAGAGAATTCTTCGATGTGTCCGCTGGCATAGATGCGACTAAAACGCGGTCTAAAGTTAGAAGTCCGACTTGGTCACCGAAGAATGATAAAATGAAACAACTTCAAGATATTTGTTCTAAGATAGTCTAAGCAAAGGGGGGATCCGGCGGCCGAGACAGTGTGTTAGTCACCTAGCTGTCACGATTTATGTCACGTGAATGCACAAACAAGAAATCAAAAGTCACGTGCTAACAGCGCGTCCGCCGAGAGGTTTGTTCATTCAAAGTTTGACAACAATCGACATCGCAGGAGACATCACCATTTCTCGCCCATACATTTGTAACCTTTTATTCACTCATATTACTATAAACATGCGCTGGCTTGCAATCGCCTTCACAATTCAGGTCCTTGCTTCGCTGGTCGAAGCAGCCATCATGAATATTTCAAACACACGGGGCATACGAGACAGCCGATACGCTAAAGCACACTACCTACCTGAATCACACTCCTTCAATCCAAGAGACGGATGGGAACCTGTCAATATCTCCAATCTGAACTACAAGTATCTCGCGTCAAGTCACAAAGATCACTCCTTCCACAGAGCACTGCGCAGGTCGCCCCAAAACGACACATCTACCGGCCTCAGAACATCAAAATACAGAGAAAAGCACGCAAAAACCTCAAACACAACAACATCCACTGGATTTTTAGGAACAGTGGTCTCAAGCCTGGCTTCTATCTTTGCGGGATGTATGGGTAAGGGACCTTCGGAGGGTGTCACCATAACTTGGTATGTGATCTCGCCTGCGCTGCAGTTGATATGACACGGTCAACTATGTTTGCCAGGTATACTGGCCATGACCTAGATAATCCCAGTTGTTGGAGTAACGGAGGGTGGTCACCAACAGTAAGCATGTGTGTGCATACAGCCGTGATCAAGTCTAAGAATAACTCTCAACAGGACAAGTCCTTCGTGGGCGCCGTCACCTTGGATGGTTGGACAACGAAGCCACAATGCTTCAAGTTTATTGAACGTGAGTTGCAAACTTCATCTGAGTTTGATGTCACGGTACATTCGATTGTAATTTTAGTCTGCAACGGCAAGACGTGTATATTTATTCGTGTCGTGGACACTTGTGCTGGGTGTGCAAAAGGGTCTCGTCACGTCGACCTCACCAGGGCGGCATTCAGCGAACTGGCGAGTTTGGATGAAGGCGTACTGACCGTGCAGATGCGACAAGCAACAGATCCCGATAACTGGTAAGTAACATACAGCCAGAGGGGTTGCACAACTGAACAGTAACGACAGGGATACTGACTTGTGGGGGCCACAGACCGCCAAATCCTGACTCACTCAGCGTTGCGCAGAAAACTGTCTGCCTGACACTTGTACCACTAGACACTTATGAGTACGACATTAGAACTATTCCCACCAATTAAGCTTTGATGGAAACCCTTTTTCTCTTTTTGCCTTCTGCGATCTTCGCGCGAACTTTCTCCTCATCGAAGTCTTCCTCTTCATAAAACTGGGCAGTCCTCTCTGCTTCTGTTCTTCGGCGAAGATGTTGTAATGCAACCAGATTATATCCAATGGTATCTTTCTCGCGGCGCAGGGACCTGCGTAAGTGGACGCGTAACGGGATTAACGCCGTGCGCATGACACGATTAGTCACGATCTGGTGGTGATGGATCTTCAAGAGGAAGAATAATATGCGAGAGACGAGGGAAATATTCCACCCCTTCGTAATGCATCAGAGGATGTATCTGGGGGGAAATTCAAACAAAAGCTTACTTTCTGTGCCCATAGGTCCAAGTAGCGCATCAACGAAACTACCTTGTCAAATGGTAGCACTAGCAGGGCGTCATGCAAAGCAGTACTGGATATTTTCTCGACAACTCGTAGGACGTATGCCTCAGGTTCTAAGTCATATGCTGCGAGAATGGGGTTTCGAGGCGGTGGCTGCATCCCTGCGGCCTCTAGTGAACCGGCTTGAGCAACCTTCTCTTCATATTCCTGGAAAGCAGCCCGCTCGGCATCAGCGAGGTCCAACGCCTCTATAATACGTTCGCCCGCCATGAGTGTTTCCGAAGTTTGCTTGGTGACCGCAGCTGCTTCCCCAGAGGGTTGCTCATCAGCTTCGCCGTTGTTGACGATGGATATGTCAGGACGGTTAAGTGCGTTTGCAATCCCGTCCTCATAGATTTGTTCAAGCTCTCGCTCCCGCTCTTCCTCGAGAAAAAGCTAGGCTCACAGTCAGGCATGGTACCGGATATATCACTGCAGTACAACTTACTGGTTCGTCGAGTTTCTCCCAAACTCTAATGGACTTATCGTGCGAGCCCGTCACTACAAATTTGGCATGGTTGCTTACAGCCAATGCCCAAATCTCGTTGTGATGACCATCAAGTTTCTGGATGTTCTCAAACTACACGAGACTTGAAAATGATTCTCAAGGGAAAAAGAAGGGGTCTCACCTTGTCCCCATCCCAATACTTGAGCATCTTATCCTTGCCAACAGTCCAGAAGTAATGTGACTTTCGCTCAAAGAGTACCTGCATGACACTCTCCTCGTGAGCAAATATTGACTTGTGGCAGTCACCAAAGTCGAGGCCCCAGATCTTCACATTTTTGTCCGCAGAGCACGTAACGATGAGCTTTGAATCATCCGAAATGTCCATTGCTAATACAGGCAGCTGAAAAGGCGTTGAGACTTCGTGTTCACAGAGGACTCTGGGATTTACCTTGTGACCATATAGAGAAAGGAAGAACTTTAGGGTGTCTTGATAGAAAATCTTGACCGTGGAGTCCAGTAGGGCTACTGCCAATAGTTTTCCATTCGGGCTGTATCTGACAGACAGGACTTCATCCGACATCTTCAACGTTCGTGTGTGATTTAACGTCATCGACTTTTTGATCTGCATATGTTAATTCGTGATTGAGATTGCAGAGCGCATGTCTGAACCACGAAACACTAACCTCGTCATTGGAAAAAACATTACGCTCGAACTCCCAAAATTTAACTTCTTTATCAGCACTACCGCTGACCAAAACTTGCTCGTCTGGGCGAACATGCAACGACCAAACAGTGGAGCTATGGGCTTTCACGGTCTCCGTGAGTGCCGAAGATGCTAAATCATATATTAGAATCTCCCCTGACTTCGTTCCAATAGCGACCTGGAGGGAACCTAATCAGCGTGACATTTTCAGGGGAAAAAAGAAAAACTACATGTCTGTCTCCAGGAAGGAATGTACTGCAAATAGCGTAGCCGCAGTCTATTGTGCGTATGCACGCTGTCGTTTTCAAGTTCCATAGTTTCAAGGAACCTTCCATACACATATTAATGAAGCGCTGAAACCACTGACGCGGACGCACCATTAGATGCTGACGCAAGTATCTGGTCATCTGCACTCAAACACAAAGTCCTCACATCTGTACGATGTCCGGGAAGATCAACCGAAAACATCCGAGTGGCTTCAGGTGTCTCTTCCTTGGACTTCGTAGGGGGTGGAATATTGTACACTTCAAGGGCGTTTGACGACAATGCCACAAAGAGCTGCGGCGTGACAAGTCAGAGTCGTACAGTGTTCGAGCAAGTTGATACGAACCTGAACACCAGGTTTCGATACAGCTTCCTTGGAACCAAAATCGAAGGATCGAACTTTTGCGCTTGCTCGAACCACAAGGTAAGGCGTGAAAAGGTCAATCACGTTGATCTCCTGGTCAACATCCATAGCATCCTCCACGGCGTCATCGATATCTTTCCCTTTCTGTTTGCTTTTTCCCTTCTCTTTTGCACGCTTTTTCCGTCTAGCTTGCTTCTTTCTGATTTCCTCCTCAGTTCGGATACGAAAGATTTCAATGGATCGGTCGTGTGACTGAACAGCAAGGTATGGTTGTGACGGATGGAATAAAATCTGAGATACACGGTGACGTGACGAGAGCGGGAGGCTGGTAACAGGATGGATCATCTTTGCGACCTATACACAAAATGAAATTCTGAATCAACGGTTACAAAATCGTTACTTGCCTCGCCTGCCTCATTTTCCACTAAGCCTTGCGACAGTGATTCGTGGTCGATTTTCCATGCTTTAACTTCGCCCTCACTGCTTCCAGTGAAGATAAAGTTCTTCTCTGGATCGATATCCAGGGAAGAAACCTCAGAGCGGTGAGCAACAATTGTCTGAACACAATGTTGAGTAGAAGTGTCCCATAACTTCATGAACGTATCTTTTGATGTCGTGAGTAGCATATGAGAGCGTGAACCAGTCGAGGTGGAAGGAAGTTCAGGCTCGGAAAGGAATTGTATGGTTGTGATTTGATTGCGATGGCCTCGTAAACTTGAGGAAGGGTAAAGAAAAAACTCGTACAACACTCGATATCACGTACCGGTAGAGACCAGCTTCTGCTACAACATCCCACATGATGATATCTGTATCTTGCGAGCCAGAAGCAAGGCGGGCTCCTTGTGCATCAAATGCGAGAGCAGTAACGGATTTTTGGTGTCCATTAAATGTTGCAATGACGGAGACAAATGCACTATTCCAAAGGCGTACTGAACCATCAGCGTAGCCCACCGCAAAAATGTTTTCTTGAGGAGAACGACACATGCAAGTAACCTCAGATCTGTGTCCTGTTTCATGCCACATCGAGAGCTGGCTACACATGAGCAGACAGCAATACTTAAAACACTATCCGCATACCATTTGCCCTTTCTTCATATCCCATACAAGCACGTCCTCAAGTGCTGGGACATATGCTAGTTTACCATCATATAGTGAGTTGGAGGTTGAGCTGCATATCAGACCAAAAGCCTGTCTGACTGTGAGCGCGAGTGCAATAGATATAAAGATGCCTCATGCCTGGGTTGGCCCGTGCCGCAGGTAGCTTTGCACCATCTGTGTGCTTCACGATGCGTTATGGTCACCCATATCTGAGCGGACCAAGGCAGAAAATGCGAGAACCTAAATTTGGTAATCTATTCCCACATCTATCAAGCTAAGGCTTCTCGCGATGCGTCTGCCTCTCACCTTGCACATAAGACATCTTGGACGATCCGACTATCGAATATTTCGAGAGGCAATCTAGTTTCAGATTCAAACTGTCATTTAATCCAAGTAATGATGCTACAAGTTTCTCAGTCGAGCTCTGAGGCAGCCAGACGCTTCATCGCTTTCGTGAACGCATCACCAACTCCTTTTCACGCCGTACATAATGCATCTGTACGACTGGAAGCATCTGGATTCAAGAAGGTGAGTCGGACCACATACATCGAATTCAAGTGTCTCGAAACAACAGCGTAGATCAGGGAAGCCGACGATTGGGAGAAGACTCTGCAACCCCGAGGGAAATACTACTTTACCCGGTCAGTCTACTCGTTAGTTACTCTATGTTTTCTGATCTGTATTACAGTAATCAGAGTTCACTAGTTGCTTTTACGATTCCACCGAACTGGAAGCAGGGCGCGGGCTTATCTATTGTGGCTACACACGTTGATAGCCCAAATTTGAGGGTGTGATTTAGTTACCACACTTCATCTGTAAATATCTAAGGTTCGCACAGGTGCGCCCTATATCCAAGCGGGAGAAGACCGGGTACCTCCAGGTTGGAGTAGAAACTTATGGTGGAGGTATCTGGCACTCTTGGTTCGATCGAGACCTCTCGTTGGCCGGGAGAGTCGTGGTCACGCAGCAAGATGGAACCTTTCAATCAAAGCTTATCAAGGTTGACCGACCTCTCCTGCGTATTCCTTCCCTTGCCATCCACCGTCCGTACATTCCGTGATTATGTAGAGTGTGAACGCTAATTTATGGCCAGTTCAGTGGACAGAAATGTCAACGACAATTTGAAGTTCAACCAGGAGACAGAATTTGTACCCATCCTAGGGCTTGTCGCGGAAACTTTGAACAAAAAGTCCAAAGATGACAAGGTATCAAACGCGACGGCTGCTAGTATCCAGGGAAATCATCACCCAGCCCTACTCTCAGTCATTGCCAACGAACTGTCAGTTTCTCCTGAAGAGATCCATGATTTTGAATTGTGCGTCCCAGAGCTCCCCAGACCTGGTCGATTCCTGATGCTTCCGTAGGCACTTATATGATACCCAACCTTCTGTCTTGGGGGGCGTTAACAATGAGTTCATGTTTAGTCCTCGCATGGACAACCAGGTTTGCTCGTGCGTCCTCGAATTTTCTTACCCGTGGTGTATCTAATAGCAAACAATCGTAGCTTCTGCGCTGTGGATGCCATCTCCACCTATGTCTCGTCTTCCAATTTCAATCTTCTTGAAGGCAACGTCAACTGCATTGCCCTCTTCAATCATGAGGAAATTGGCAGCGTTTCCATATCTGGGGCAGAATCTTCCTTGATCCCCTCGCTTCTGCAACGCCTATCTCCCACTCCTGCGCTTCACTCACAGTCTGTTGCTCGGTCGTTCCTCATATCGGCGGATATGGGTCATGCCATTCACCCGAACTTTACCTCAAAGCACGAGGACAACCATCAGCCGACTATGAACGGAGGTATTGTCATCAAGACCAATGCAAAACAGAAATATGCCAGCGACGCAATCGGGTCCTTCGTTGTGAAGAAACTTGTCGAGCGCAAAGGAGGTCAGGTCCAGGAGTACGAGGTTCGAAACGACATGTGAGTATTCATTTAGTTTTAGAAGCTTCTCTTAATCATCAACATCCAGGGCGTGTGGTTCGACGGTTGGACCGATGTTATCGAAGCTTGGCTTGCGCACAGTAGATGTCGGTAATGCCATGTTGTCTATGCACTCCATTCGCGAGACTGCAGGCTCTCATGACGTCCAAAACGCGATCGACCTATTTACCTCATTCTTTGAAGGTTTTACTGAGCTAGATAAGACTCTTACTGTAGATTAGTTCACATCTGCAATGGGCTGCACTTTACAATACATCGCTCACGTGGTTGGGGGATTCTCACATACATTGAAAGGAACCTGAACTCGAGGGCATGTATAAATGTATATGCTATCGCTTTTGTCGTTTACTCGATGTCCGATCTGAATCTGCCCTTGAATGTGCCGCAGGTCCCGATAACAGACTGCGCTTCTTAGTCGTTCTCGCGTAATGTGCCAATACCCACTCTCTTTCTGCCTCTGTCTGTTCTATAGTGCCTTGTCGTATCTCATACGCTAAAGATTCAAGCATTGAGTTGGCTACCAATAAAGTCAATAAGATGGCGCTCACGTTTCATCTCAAAGCGCGGCCCAACTTCCGCCAGTTGGACATCCCGAGCTACTTTTACAAAAACATGATGTCTGCGCAAGTTAGTATCTGCTGCATGTCCTCCCAATACACTCACCTGAAGGAAATGAAGTCGCCGTCATTCGAGAACGTCATCACACGCTTGCTGTCTTCTTTCGGTACAGGAAACAGGAATTTTAGCACGTCTCGTACCCGTCCACCGAGTTTAGATGTGAACTCTTCAAAGATGAGATGTGGGTATTGTTCTGAGACGGTGGAGGACTTGTATGAGCCTATGTCGTGCCGTAGGGCGACGTTGTGCAGGGTAAAGTAGACGGTAGGTCCATGAGGGAAGTGCGAGACAATCATAGCATCTGTATGATGCTCAAATTAGCGCACAGATGGAACTGACTCTAGTTTTGCGTACCAGGAACACCACGGTGTTCGTGGAGAACAATGAGATCAGTAATGTCGTTGGCACGACAAGCATCCGCCAACTCTTTTATAACGTAGTTTCCTCGGTTGATTCGATGCGAGTTGGGGAAAACGAGCCGCATTTCCTTTGCAAGGTTTCAATAGGAACGGGCGACGAATATTTGCACGACATACTTTGGCGAACTGCAACAACTTGGAACTTGGGTCCCTTGATGTTGTTACAATGATTTTTGGGTCTTGAATACCAGCTCGCGAGTATTCGCTATCGATGTGCGTTGACGGCTCTGATCAAAAGACCTGGTAGATACACTAATTTAGTACCGTAGATGATTGCAACTCACCTTCTTGTGCCTCGTCAAACGCCAGGTCCTTTCCCAGTGTTTTTGCGTCATTCTTGAGCTCAGTGGGTAGTTTTTTCCCCGATGCAAGTGCGTCCTTGAGCTGCCGTTTGCGCTCATAAGTCTGACGTTCTTGAGCCTCGAGGGATTTGGCGTAAATGTATTGTCGTCGCTCGCGCGTTTGTCGCCGAATCTATTATCCTTGTCAACTGTGAAAGCTGTAGACAAGGGAATTGGATGCATTACCATCTTCCCGTCGACAATCAAAGGGTTTATGGACAACTTATTGCTATTAGGACCCAAATCTTAGGCTGTTCTGAAAATTACCAATCACGTGATTTCGCCTCCTGGGTCAAACCTATTGAGTGTATGTAACATATTCGTCGAGAGCTCTTACGTAGACCATCGACGAAAGAAACTCCTATATATATAAACATATGATCGTAAGCTGCGTAAAATGCTAAAGATTAAGTAGGGAGTTACAAGCACAGACAGCCATATGGTGGTTGTAGAATAGGATATTAGGTACGTGATTGAACTGGGCATGAGTCTATATTATTAATTGAAATCGCGATAAAAAGGGAACGGAAGCTCAGAAATCCTCGTCAAGAGAACTAGATTGTCGAGTGAGACATGTGTTCTAGAATAACACAGTGGGAAACTTACAACAGCCTTGAAGACGCCGAAGTATGCGATTGTCTGATATGTGCCTTCGCATAGTCAGACACGCGTCTCTCGAAGAAATTTGTCTTTCCCTGCATAGAAATCATGTCCATAAAATCAAAAGGATTGGTGGAGTTGTAGAACTTGTCATTCCCCAACGACACTAGAAGACGGTCGGCGACAAACTCGATATACTGGCACATCATGGTTGCGTTCATGCCAATCAGGCTAACCGGAAGAGCATCTGCGGTGCACAGTCAATACCAGCCTGAGATAACAACTGAACGACGTGCCTGCTAAAAACTCTTGTTCGATATGGACACTTTCTGTAATGATTTTTTGTATAACATCCGGATGCGGTCTTCGCTTGAGATGGGTAAATAAAAGACAAGCGAAGTCGGTGTGCATCCCCTCGTCACGACTGATGAGTTCATTAGAGAATGTGAGCCCGGGCATTAATCCACGCTTTTTGAGCCAGAATATTGATGCAAACGAGCCGGAAAAGAAGATACCCTCAACTGCAGCAAAGGCGACTAGCCGAGTAGCAAATGTCGCCTCCTTGTCAGATATCCATCGTAATGCCCAGTCCGCCTTTCGCTTGACGGCCGGTATGGTCTCTATAGCATCAAAAAGATACTGGCGCTCATTGACATCCTTGATGAGTGTGTCGATGAGGAGCGAATAGGTCTCGGCGTGAACATTTTCGATCATGATTTGAAAACCATAAAAGCATCGAGCTTCTGGGATTTGGACTTCGTTGGAAAAACGTTCAACCAAATTCTCGTTAACTATGCCATCGGACGCAGCAAAAAAAGCTAAAATATGTGAGATGAAGTGGCGTTCATTTGCAGTTAGTCGGATATTCCAATGCACGATGTCTGTCGAAAGATCCATTTCTTCGGCAGTCCAAAAAGATGCCTCCGCTTTCTTGTACATGTTCCAGATCTATACGCCGTCGGTTAAGTCCACCACCGTGAATAGGAAATTTGCTCACATCATGATACTGTATGGGGAAAAGGACAAAGCGCCGTTGAGAAGGCATGAGGAGCGGTTCATATTCTGTGTGCTCTGGTGAGATTTGTGTACACGCAGAGTCAAAAAAGCGTACCCCCTTCAGAAACTCCACTCTCGTATGTTGTACCGGAGCTGTCCATACCATTACATCCTTCAGAGTAGAGGAATGGGTCGCTGAGAGAAAGTTTCTGCTGTGATGTCTCCTACCATGAGATAGCCTCTAATTAAGGCTTGCCTGTGAGCAACAATAACCACACACCTCGATTGAAAGGTCTTGGATAGATGTGACAAAGAAACAATCGAGCGCTTGTGTGTCAGACATAGAGATAAAGCTTGCACCTACTGGTGGAGTACTGAACGGATCTTTGAAAGGTCACGTAATCATGTGATGTACGTGACTGATTTTTTTTGGGTCATCCGATTATATCCACTCGCGGATTGCTCATTGACCTGTTATTTTAAAGATCTGTGTCAGTGCAGTGTACATGGACCACAAGGGACGATGTGAAACAAGGTGAAGACGTGAGAAGCGGTCTAAGTTGATTGGTTTGGCTAATAATAGAATTTGATGAAACATCAATATTCGCGCTCGTGGCACGTCTACAAAAACCAACAACGCGTCGCGTAATGTTGAGTGGAACAAATAACCACAACCACAATTTGAACCGTTTAAATTGAACCTCGGTTGGTTCTTTCTGCCAGACCTCCATCTCTTGCGATATCTTCTTCATCTCAGTACATATCATCCTATACTTTCAATGGCTTCTACTCTTGCACCAGTTCGTGTATCGTCCCCTGCTCCAACACCAAGCAAGAAGGTTCATCCATTTTTGTGTTAACCGTGTGCCAGCTAACGGCTATTGAATCGTTAGGCTGCTGCAGCCCTAGCAAATATCTCATTAGACTCACCAACCAAGCCATCAGATGACGAGGATACTCTTCCTGTTTTGATCGATGATCGCAAGCGTTCAGTCTCGCCGGACTCGCAAGACGCTGAGGACGAGCTTGAAGAACTTCGCAAGAAATTTGTCGGCGAAATTGACCTACCTGAAAGTTAGTGCCTTAATTTTGTTTGTGAATGTGAATTAATGTTCAACCTAATTTTTCATTTCAGGCGAAGAGCCTCTGCTCAAAGAATCCAAGCGTCGTTTCGTTCTTTTCCCCATTCAATACCACGAGGTTTGTTGCTGTCTATCATCTTGTTAACTTCATTCTAACAATTTACCAGATATGGCAAATGTACAAGAAAGCAGAGGCATCATTCTGGACTGCCGAGGAGATGGACCTCTCAAAAGACACACATGACTGGACCAACCGTCTTAATGACAACGAACGTCACTTCATTTCACACGTCCTTGCCTTCTTCGCTGCATCCGACGGCATTGTTAATGAAAACCTCATTGAACGTTTCTCTAACGAGGTCCAGGCTGCTGAGGCCCGGTGCTTCTACGGCTTCCAAATCATGATGGAGAACATTCACTCGGAGACCTACTCACTTCTCATCGACACATACATTAAGGATTCTGCCCAGCGCGAATATCTCTTTGATGCCATGGAAACTATTCCTTGTGTCAAGCGCAAGGCTGACTGGGCACTAAAGTGGATATCTGATCACCGTTCCACCTTCGGTGAGCGCTTGGTCGCCTTCGCTGCCGTCGAAGGCATCTTCTTCTCTGGTTCCTTTGCGTCCATCTTCTGGCTTAAGAAGCGTGGTCTCATGCCTGGTCTCACGTTCTCCAACGAGCTCATCAGCCGTGATGAGGGTATGCATACCGATTTTGCTTGCTTGCTCTTTAGCCACCTCAAGCGTCGCCCGCACCCTGAGACTGTCAAGTATATCATTACCCAAGCTGTCGCCATCGAGCAAGAATTTTTGACTGGTTTGTCATTGCTTCATCGTATCCATCTCACGCTGACCGTCTCTCCAGATGCTCTCCCTGTCGGCCTCATTGGCATGAATGCCAAGCTCATGTGCCAGTACATCGAGTTCGTCGCAGACCGCTTGTTGGTGTCGCTAGGCAACGATAAGGTGTACAACGTCACAAATCCATTCGACTTCATGGACATGATATCGCTACAGGGGAAGACCAACTTCTTCGAAAAGCGTGTATCGGACTACTCAAAGGCGAACGTCAACCACACGAATGCTAAGACCGATCAGGTGTCGAGTAAAGCTTTGTGAGTTCGCCCATCTTTCTGTTAGACCTTGTCTGACAATGTTTCATCCAGCTCGTTGGATGAGGACTTCTAGATGTGCCATTCCCGCGTTCCCTTATTTACATATACTCAACTCTCCGTATGCACTATACCACGCCCATATGTTCATCAAATCAACCTCTGCATGTTCGTTTAGATATGTTATTATTATTCACCCTCTGTAATGTTTAGTGTTATCAGTAGTCATACCTGCACGAATTGATTATCGTCTGCTTGGACGCTTGAGCCTTTATGTCAACCTGATTTTGTAGTACCATAAATGCTTTTGTACAGGACTATTTCAACTGCGGTTCCCAAGTACATAGCACGATAAATATTTGATATTGGAAACCGTTTAGCTCGGCATCGTGTTCATAAACTTCTCCGATAGTAGATGACATAATACGTTACACGAAGTAACGGCTATACTGACTTTAAGAGGTTGGTTATACACTTCGATGAACACAGTCAAACAGTCCCATAGTTCACCTACTGACGAACTCGACGACTCCCAGAAGCCGCATGCACCAAAATCTACCTCAGCATGGACGTGGCTGAACTTTCTGGGTGATGTATCACAATCCGAAGTCGATGTTTTACTTCTCTCCACCGCATTCAAGTTTCTCCTGTTCCCAGCATAGTAGGTCCTCCTTAAATATGTATCCGCATGCTTACTTATCCGTGAAGTCGCTCTACGGATTTCGAGGTCCACCGAAACTGGCTGGCCATAACACATTCACTTCCTATTTCTCAATGGTATTACGATGTGCGTCCTGAAGCTCTCCAGATTCCATTACTAGGCTTATTTGAACGCGGTGTTGAAGACAACTTCTGAGTGGAGTGAGCCCCTTTGAAAGTTTCTGTATCACACTGTCTCATCTCGTCGACTAGCGCTGGATTACCCTCCATTCTTTGCATATTTCGAGAGCTTGATGTCCATACCCGCTTCATTCATCGATCCCAAGATAGTTGACCTCCAAAATCTGCAATATGATGCATGGACAGTCATTGCATATCAACGTCTAACCGTCATTATCTCTGAGCTTGTCCTTGGTGCGGCACTTCTGAGGTGATTTTCTATTTATTCATATCTGTGAAGCGCTAATTCTTGAGTGAGGTTCATCCGTGTTTCTGTTGATCCCTCTCGTCAACGAATTCTCTCTGTGTCCTTGTTTCTTCACCCAGGGTTCCTTATGATTGACCACATACACTTCCAATACAATGGGTTTATGTTTGGAATATTACTATGGTCGATCTTAATGGCTTGCGAAGTAAGAGTGTGGTTCTTACTTGAGCAAAGCGTCTTATCACATTTATAGGGCAGAAAACTTGCGAGCGGCATACTTTTTGCCGTTCTTTTGAATTTCAAACACATCTACATGTATTTGGCGGTATGATCGCATCACTATTCGTGGTCCTTGGCTCACTGGGTTACCTCTACAGCCTGCATACTTTATTTACCTTCTGCGGTCTTATTGCATGTCTCCCGCCGGGGCGATCATTCCCACACGCTTTATCTCATTAGCGAACTCTGTCCTGCTTGTGTTCCTAGCCTCTCTAGGACCATTCGTATTGATGGGCCAACTCCCGCAACTCCTTTCTCGCTTGTTTCCTTTTACACGTGGACTGAATCACGCTTACTGGGCACCAAATGCGTGGGCCTTGGTCACTGCCGCAGACCGTGTCCTTTTGCAGCGTTCGTAGTTCATTGACCACCCTTCTACTACCGAGCTCACGTTGGCCCTCAGTGGTAAAACATCTAGATGTGGGGCTCGTAGTGAATGAATCTGGTATTGCATCGACGTCTCGCGGCCTTGTAGGCGATACGGTCTTTGCGGTGATTCCAAATATCAAACCTATCCACACGTTTATCATCACAATAATCTTCCAGATGGTGCGAAAAATTGCATAACTGGCCCGATCTCTCTGATATTGCAGCTCAGGTTTATCTCATTAAGCTATGGAGCGCCCCGACTTACAAGTCGTTTGTGGCTGCCTTGACGCTTTGTGGCTACGCTTCATACATGTTCGGGTGGCATGTGCATGAGAAGGCCATTCTGCTCGTATTAGTGCCTCTCACGTGCGTGGTTTTCATTACTCTTTTTAACCTAGTAATTAGTGTTGCAGGCTTCTGGCCTCGGAAAACTATGCGTATTACAAGACCTTCGTTATCGCAAGTGTCGCGGGTATCTTCTCCCTCTTCCCCTTGATCTTTACGCCAGCAGGTGCGTTCCCGTAATGTCAACTCGTCTTGGGTATCATTAACGAAGCCACAGAGACTCTGCTAAAAATTGTGTATTCCGTCATATGGGGAGCGATGATATTATACCCCCTCCACAAGCAGCTTTACGAGTGAGCACTGACACAGAGATGTTTCTTGCTATTAAAACTTCCAACAGATTTCCTTCATCACTGCCCTGGGTACTGTTGGAGAGCTTTGAGAATGCATATCTTTATGGTTTTGCATTTCTCCAAGCTTTCGTCACCCTGTTCCCTCTCATGACTGGCGGGAATCCAGACACTGAATTTTTACCCCTGATGGCGACAAGTGTTTACTGCGCGATGGGACTGATATGGTCCTTTATCCGGCTCAGTACTCTATACATTATAGAGCAGTACTAGTAGATACAATGAGTTGCGTGGGGTGAGCCGTACATCTATTATGTCGGCTAATTTTTTGCGATATGAACGACTGAGAGACCGCTTGAGATTGTACGCGTGGAAAAAACAAGAATCTTACCGTCCTCGTCTTCCAAGATGTGGTCCAAGCCAACCTTTTGACCCCGAGAATGCTTGGCACTTGCACCCCATACAACGGCACTGATCAAGCAATCAGCTCCGCGAATTAGTAAGGAAATCTCAGCTGTTGACACTCACTATTTCATTTGCTTGGCAATTTCCTTGTGGATAGCATTACAAAAATCCTCCACACTACATCTCCCTCTACGAAGGACGACCGGAGCGGAGTAGTCAGGTGATTGTCCACGAGGTTTGGTGTAAACGCGGACAAGCTCGAGAGCTTCCCACATTTTCTCTGTGAGTTCGTCGATATTGAGCCATTCCCTCGATGAAACTGGAACGCTGTGAGGAATTTTGT